ACAATGATGCCATTATATCATTCCTGCTTTGCAGATCAGATGCTTCATGCTCAGAAACAGTTTAAACTCAGGTCTGTGTTGGTTCTACGGGCTATACTGTGGCCAATGTCAGTACAGTTAGATGCTAAATATGGGGACTGGCTATACCACATGAAGGAGAGAGCTTCCAACTAGAGGTCAAGACCACCTATAAAGCCTTTATAATGAATTTCTGACCTTATTCAGAAACTCAATCTCCTTCCTGACTTGGAAGAGGAAGCTCCATATGAGTCTAAGCCCTCATCAGCTTCATTTCTATTAGTCTTATTTTCCAACAACAACATCAGTTATTTTTATATCTGGAAAATACTCTTAATATTTTTAATATTCTTAAACATTCTTAATAGGTTCTTAATCTGAAAATTCATTGAAAGGAATAAATGAAGACTTGCTGAAATAGATATGTTATCAGGTTTCTGGTTACTTCCAAACCAATCCATCAACTTTTATTTATTATTGCAGTATATGTCCTATAATCCTCATCATTCCACAATGAGAAACAGAAAGAGTGACCAATAGTGTTTTCCATGCAAATAAGTAAGAATTGTGACTAGAGGAAATTGAAACAATAACAATGAACCTCATAATAATGCCCAATTACCTTACACAATGTAAATTAATGGGGAGCTCCACTTGACATTGGCTAAATCTCTAGAGAGTTAAGTTCTCTACAATACAGGAACAAAGCAATTCCCTTTCCAATCATTACATTAGTTAACTCTTGTGACAAGATCTCCTTCATATAAATCAGTTTTATAAAGCAAGTGTAATCATGATCATCATTTACAGATGAGGACACTGAGGCTGGCACTGTGATGGCTTCTCTAAGGGCTTATAGTCAATAAGGGCCAGAGCTGAGACTAGAACCAGGTACAATTAGATCTTATGCTCTTTCTGCTATCCCTTGTGCCCTTCTGGTAACACTCACATGGATGAATGCAGCTTACTGAGAGTTCCCACAATGGTAGCTCCTTTCTAAATAACAGCATCAAGGAACTACTCAGAAGAAAGTCAGTGAAGAATGTGAAAAACTACTTGATGGGTCAATGATGACCATTACTGTGGCCCTCAATCCTTCAGTTGAAAGCCTGTGATCAGTCCTCAAAGAGGACTGAGTAGAAGAGCTAAGATTAACGCTGATAAAGTATTTAGAGCAATGAGCAACTGATGTAACTGATATACAAGGAGTGTTTGTTAAACATACATACATACACTTGTGTGCCCAAGGCTGTCAGGTATTTTAGTTTAAAGATTTCGTCTCTACTAGCAAGGGTACACAATAAAATTCAGAGTAATAACACTGACAATCATTTATCATATGGGCTGATCTCAGCTTTAATCCTCATGAAACTATACAAAGTATAGATGTGATCAAAAATATGGTAAATATTTAAAAATAAAAAGAATGTATTACAGTAAAGACACATCACCATTAATTACCCTCAACACCACCCAAACACAATTATCCATCATTCTTGCCACTTTCTGAAGCAGTTCTGGAAGTCTTCTTCATGAGTATCTTTTCATGCCTGCCTCAATGTCCTGAATTGATTCAAAATATTTACAGCAATTTCTGTCAAATAAAACATTACAATGTGCCTTCATCTGCCTTATTTACTATATCTGGGATCATGTGACTTTTGGCTTTTTCCCAGTGTCAAAATGACAATGAAAAGTAAATGTTTTGAATAATTCAGGACATGGAAGCAACCACAATGGCACAACTAAAGACACTCATGAAAGAGGACTTCCAGGAGGGCTTCAGAAAGTGGCAAGAACAATGAGATAAGTGTTGAAAGCAAGGGGGAATGTTTTGAAGAGAATTAATAGCAATGTGTCTTTTACTGCAATAATTGTTTTTAATTCAAAATATGCTGTATTGTTTGATCATAACTCGTATATATTAGTCCCATTTTGTGGATGGGAAAACTAACATTGAGCGATCTTACTGCTATTAAGTGAACAATAATATTTGAAGTTGGGTAATCTTGTTTTTCTTTTCAGTCTACCAAGCTTCTTTCATACCTAATTCAGTCAGTTGGAATAATTTAATCATTAAATATTTTAGCCTTCAAATTTTTCATTTTTCTGTAAATAATCTCAATCTGTGTCATGCAATATGATAGCTACATATGGCTTTTGAGCAATAGAATGCTGTGAGTCTTAAATGAGATGAACTGGAAGAATAAAATAAACACCTAGCACAACAAAAGGTAAAATGATTCATTAGTAAATTCTAATATTGATTACATGTTGAGATAAAACTGAATATTGTGTTAAATTTAATGTATTATTAAAATTAATTTCACATTTTTTTAATGTAGCTACTAGAATGTGGGTTTTTGAATGTAACTACTAGAAAAATTTAAATTACATGTATCATTACTATTATATACTATTGTTACTATTATATCTCTATTGGATCATACTGCTATAGATTATTGTACAAATCTACATACTGACATCAGAGAGAATCAAACAGAAAAAGAAAAGGTTTTTGCTTTTGAATTATTCTCATGGCATCAGCCTATAATCCAAGATGTTCAAACACTGAGTTCCATAGTATTTATCAGGTTGCTTTTATTTCTTACTATAATTCATAGCAAAATAAATACATCATATTGCATCCCAGAATAATCTAGCTTTTGTTTATTATACATATACTACATCAGTTTTATAAAGTTCTGTCATATATAACTGAAATAACAATTTAACGAATAGAGAAATTAACTTCCCCTTACTTATATTTTCAGTTTAGTTATCTCCTATTCTATTGTGTTAATGCTGGTTGCAACCCACTAACCTAACTTTACAACCCACTGATGAGTTTCATCCTCATTTGTAAAATTCAGCATAGTGCCTGCAATTAAGATACTGATTCCATCTGCACACAGGTGAAGGGGTTTTTTGGTAAATAAGAAGTTGGATCTGGTAGAAATGAATGAGCTAGCAGAGGCCTGTGGTAGCTATAGCAAGTTCTGTGGCCTGTTCAGTTGGCCACATTGAGGGGAGTTCTTCAGACTAAATACTCCTCCTTTCCATGGAATCAGCACTATGGATATGTATGGCATCCAGCAATTATTCCATCTGCTCAGCATCATTCCTTCTTACAAGGAAAAGCCAATGCTTCTTTTGGTACCCTGCTCTTCCTAACCAACTCCCACTCCCCACCTCAACTCTATCCAAAAGATTCAAATGAAAGTTCCCCTACATTATAGGCCATGTCTGATAACTCAACAGTAGGAACCCAACCTAGTTAAGACCAATCAGAGCCTGTTCCTGGGATTTGGGGACATCTAACTTAACAAGGGAAAGTCAGTCTCTTCTGATGACTTCCTTGTATTCAGACATCTTTGAAAGATTATTAACTTCCTATTGTAGCAACAAGGACAAGCATATTTCTCTTTGCTGCGTATCTTTCAATTATGTGAAATTCTTTCAACAAACCATTTTTCCTAAGCTCCTTAGAGGTATATTCTCTTGCCTGAAGCCATGAATCTGGACTACACTGTGATTAAAGACAAAATTTGGCCAGTGACATAATTTCAGTGATTCTAAACCACCCGGCACGCCCATATGCAAGTAGGAATAGAATTCTCTTCTGCTCCTGACACTTCTGACTTTTCAGAACTGTCTCTTCCAAGGCCTGCATATATAACCCCAGAGTCTACAAAGGTCTTTGTGCTCTAAAAAGGACATAGACCAGAACAGTTGGTAGCATTCATACACCATTGATTCCGGGAACCCTGTAACACAAGTTAAAGTGATCCCTTTAACAATGCAAATGCAGTGGGCCTGTACCCTGTTTATGAAGCAAGCAATTAAGTAAGGCAAAGCATGCTCCTAGTATAATACTGTAGTTTAACTGGGGGAAAGAGGTTTTATTTAATATTTATGATCAGCTTTTTGTAAAAGATCAACAAATCATTGCTTATAAATCAAAAATCATTTTCTTACAGGAGAATATTAAAATTACTATTCCTAATGGTAAGGTATCCAGTGACTTACTTAGTTGTGGCAGTTTCAGTGGTTACCTTAGGACTGATCTTTGGCTAAAGATCAATATCATTCCAATATCTTTAAAGTGAGGGAGCATTAGCCCCTTCAGTTTGATTTAGTGGTCTGAAAGTGCCCTCAAGACCCTTTGAACTACATTGCTCTTGGACCACATTTGTTTCTTATGCATTTAGAGTAACTGATGTGTTGTTTCTAAAGGAGGAAGGAATGTGAGAAAGCCTGTAAGATTAATCTTCAACAGAAAGAACAGATCTAGTTGAATCAAAGGGGAAAGTCTCTCTCTGTCACTCTCAACACACAAAAAAGGCTTTTCTGGGCACATCACAGCTGCTGCTGCTCTGCAGGACAGCCACGGGCACCAAGCAACAAGACTATGGATCGCAGTAATAGAATAACAGACACTATGTTCTTGAGACTTTTGTCTTCTTGAAAAAATTGCCCGGAATGCAGCACTGTTTGTACTTCTCAGGAATATTAGTGCCTGTAGGGGATCCATATAAGAAATTCTGTGTGACACCTAGGTGGTCTCTTAAAAGACTCTGAATCCATAGCCTGAAAAAGGTCCAGAGATTGTCAATCTGTCATTCTATTTAGATAAAGTGTTGTTCTATTTAGTGCATAACTGAGGCTGCAAAGGAAGCATAAGGAGTCCTGGGTTTCAACATTATGCAACTGTACATCAAGCTACTGCAGTGAATAACATAGCTATGGCCCTTGCTCATTTCAGGTTGACCTTTTTTGAGTTGAGAAAGGGGGCGTGGAAATGAGAAAGTAATTTCAAGGAGAACTAAGGTCATAATAAAACCTACAAAGGGTCTGAGAGAAGGAAGAAAGGGGGTAGCTGTCTGTCTCCAGCTTGCCTCCCCCACCTCCATCCCCACCCCTTCCCCTGCTCCTCCTGGCCAACCCCCACCTGCCCTGCCCTGTGCGCGCGCCGAGGGCTTTCTGAACTGGATGCGGTGGTCACGAGCCCCCAGGCCCAAGAGGTGGCTCAACTGTCGCCCAGCTTCCCTCCTCCGACCCTGTGAGCTGTTGACCACGATGGGAAATGAAGCCAGTTACCCACAGGAGATGTGCTCCCCCTTCGACCAAGATGAAATTAAAAGGCTGGGCAAGAGTTTCAAGAAGCTGGACTTGGACAAATCCGGCACTTTGAGCGTGGAGGAGTTCATGTGCCTGCCTGAGCTACAGCACAACCCGTTGGTAAAGCGAGTGATCGACATCTTCGACACGGACGGCAATGAAGAAGTGGACTTCAAGGAGTTCATCACCGGTATCTCCCAGTTCAGCGTCAGAGGCAACGAGGAGCAGAAGCTGAGGTTCGCCTTCCGGATCTACGACATCGATAAAGATGGCTACATTTCCAACGGGGAGCTCTTCCGAGTGCTGAAGATGATGGTTGGAGAGAACCTCAGTAACTGGCAGCTGCAGCAACTGGTGGACAAAACGATCATCGTTATGGATAAGGACGGTGACAGGAGACTATCCTTCCAGGAATTCAGTGCTCTGGTCAGACACCTGGAGTTCCACAAGAAGTTGGTACTGACTGTGTGAGCCCTTTTTGTAACAGCATCAGCCAACAACTTTTTCTTTCTTTCCTCTTTCTTTCATCTTTACTGAAGGCGTCCAGCAGCTGCTTCTCCACTACCTAGAATTGCTTCTCTTTTCCAAGCTTTGTCACCAATGCAATGTTAGTAATTGTTCTCGCCTTGACTCAGGGAATCGCCCTGAGTAGGAGAGGAGCAAGATAAAGGAGCTTGGTGGAGAAAGAAAAGAAATTGCTTAACAAATATTTTTGTTTGTTTTGATTTAACTATAAAAGGTCAAGAACTTGAAAAGCTCAAAAATAAGAAAATATACGTCTTTGGTTTTCTTTCTCATGGTGTTGCAGGTGGGAGGAAATTATACAACTTGTATTGGGTGTCAAGTGAACTGTTTTCATTTACTTGCATTCAGACATCTTTGACAGGTTAACTTCCTATTGTAGCAACAAGGACAAATATATTTCTCTTTGCTGAGTATCTTTTAATCACTAGATGCACAACAAAAGCCCATTTTCCCTATAACAAGACACAGCTCCTCTCCCCATGATGCACCCACAATTCCACAATGGAGTGGAAGTCCAGTCTAGCTCCTCCTGTCTCATTGCTTTAGCCTCCATCAGAAACTAGCCTCAGGGATCATTTAAAAAAAAAAATCGCTAAGCCTGGACCAAGTGCCCAACCTAGTTATTAGCTTCAGTGGCAGGGGATTTTCAGAGTTGGCTGCGCATTTCAGTGTCAAGTTCAGAAAAAGGATCTTCCAGCCAAAAAAGGGCAGGGTCCTTCCCAGAAAGTACTCTCATCCCCAACACTCAGGCCCACCTTAGTTGGAGTAAATGGGACACATACAGAATGGCCTTCCCATTCCCATTCCCATACAGGCAGAAAAGATGCAGACTCTCCCCAGGATGCTTGTGGTAGATTAACTCTTAGTCAATTTGGAATGCCCAGCTGAACTGAGTCAGTGTAGTTCTGGGCATGGAAGACCCACCTGAGGATTGTTGCTGGAATGGAAAAACGGGAGGGGAAGATTGCATGCTGCCGATTTTCTTGGAAAATCTTGTTGTGGCTGGTTTTGATAAGAACTTGCCTGTTCTCCTCATCCAAGGAGCTCAGGTCCTCCCTGTCACTGAGGATGGCTCCCCTTCTCTTTGAGGGAGCTCTGGTCTTTGCCTTAAGCATCATTTCTGGCTCCAGTGCAGATCCCTCAGCCTGGTGTCACAGATCCTTCACCCTTCCAGTGCAGAGCTTCTGGCTTCCACCACTGGCTTTGGGCCCTTTCTGGTGCAGATCCTTGATATGGACTTACAGGAGTCATTGCCATGGGCTCTAGGTCTTTGGCTAGACTTGTGCGGGACATTGCCAAGGGATCCAGGCCCTTGGCTGCATTCTTTGTGTCTCTAGTGTGAGGACAGATCTCTTGCACTCTCTGCATTTGACTTTTTGGGTGAATATTATAAAATAATCCTATAAATTGTGTGTTCTCTGGTAAATCTATTCCCTTAAACTACTGACTACAACAATGCTGAAGTGGTATGATGTTGTTCCAGGGCTCGGGGATGTAGAGGTCACCAACCATATCTCCACAGCAGAGGTAAATAGTAGCTCCACTAGCTAAGTGTGGTTTTGAAAATCAGACCTGGGACATAACAGAGAAACTGAGAGCTTTCGTATCCTTGGGAGATTTTTTTCCCTAATGGAACATTTAGCCTAGAATTCCTCACACCCCGATAGACCTGCATCTAAGTGTGTATTGGAGCCTATTTGTTCTAAATGAGAGCAAATGTGTAGACAGCTCTCCCTAGCTCACTATGTCATGTCGATACCTTGACATTGGTCATGGTGGGAATAATATATCAGGGAAAAGAACAAAAACTTTTAGTGGTTTTGTTTGGTTTTCTTTGGAGAATCAATTTACCAGTGAGTACACCACCTGCTCCCATCCTCAGTGTTACCAACTCTCTGACTTCTCTTTCACTGCTGTCAGATCTCAGAACATAAGCTGTCCTCACAAGAGCAGGGCCAGGACCGATTCTAGCATCTGCCATTTCACACCACTTCTCTTTCTCATGGAGAACCACTCCCCTATAAGCTACCTAAGGCTGTCAGAATACTAAATGACACATACTCTTTCACACTTAACAAAAAGACAACACTCTGGTGGTTTTTCTCAAGAAAACAAAGATCAATTTCTATGAGATTTATTATTGTTATATTTTGAAGAAGCTGGCAACTAGTCTTGTCCAGGAAAAGAAAAAGAAAAAGAAAGAAAAAAAAGTCCACAAATTTAATCACTGGCAGGACATCCATCTACCATATTACACATTTAATAGCATAGTTTACTGAGGAACTACAAAAAATAGGAATCCCTTTAATTCCTGTGAAGTTCCAAAGAAATATGTTAATAATCAATAAACACTCTCCATCCTATATCGATGTGTGGCAAAACCCTATTGCCAGGTAATATGGTTGAAAGACACAAAAACAATTGGATTTTGATTAATTACAGCTGGGTCATCATCATAGCCACAAGTAGTTGTATGAACATAAGCAACTTCAATGACTTTCCTCTTCATTAAAACAATGATCCATCCCAGGATCATTTTGAAAATTCAAAAAGACAAAATATGTAAACCACCTAGGATACAATACGTTAATTCTACTAATTCCCTTCCCCCACCTCTCCCTTCTACAAGATCAATATGTAAGGAAGACATGAAGTAGGAGCAGTTTGTTCCTTGCCAAGAAACTCACTTCTTTTTTTGTGAAAATTTAGACAACTTAATTACATTAATAAAACAGTCATAATTTGAGACAGGTAAACATAGAAAACATAAAAATAGGAGGTATGAAATAAGGTAGAAACACTTGGTCACACCCAAAATTAACTGGACATTTGTATAATCCTAGACTAGCCAAGCAAACAACCAGGAACAACGTCAATATTCATCCCACACCCTAAGGGGCCAATAGACTTCTGGACTTGATAACCCAAGAAACTTTAGAGAGATTTTCTATTTCTAGACCAACCTGTTTGACTTTGTAGAGAAAATTTTACATGAGGAAATTGAGCATTCCAGCTAAGATCTCTTCAAGAAAAGCAATTATTTATAGTTACAATGTGCACATTAGAAAATTAAAAATTTTGAATTATGACCAAGGGCTTGAAAAATGTTGGATTACATATTCAAATTTAACAAGAAAAGGAAAAATATTTCAGCTTCTGGAGTGGCTGGAATTAGAAGAAGCCAATTGCTCAATCTACCTAATATATCTTCCCAAGGCTTTGTAACAAAGTTTTGAGAGCTTGTTTCTGGTGTTAGCACTGAAAAGATCTGACTAGATATGTGGGGAAATGGGTCACATTTACTTCCAATTTCATACATTGTTTTTTTCCCCCACAGTTAATTGTTGCAAAAAAAAAAAAGTTTAGGGCCAGGGATGTAGCTCAGTGGTGCCGTGGCTGCCTGGGAAGCACAATGTCTTGAGTTCAATCCTCAGTACCAAAACAAAAAAATGTATACCACTCCTTGGGCAAATAATAATAGTTGCCACTTATTGAGCTATTATGATTCTTCATATAACCTTTGTTATTTCATTTAATCATCACTTCAACACTGTGAGGTTGACACCGTTATCTCAACTTCACAGATGATGCCATAGATTGGAATCTTCTCCAAGATCACTCATCTGGTAAGTGGCAAAGGAAGGATTCCTACCAGGCTTTGTGACTCAAACCCTGAGCTTTGTCTCTGCCACTGTGTTCCTCTTATTATTATGGCTCCAGTGTTTACCTGTCTCAAATTGTTTCTGACAGTCTTTTTAATGTGATCAGCTCAAGCATCAATTTTCACAAAAGAGGAAACAGGCCCAAAGAACTGACTTACTGATCAAAGAGCAAACAGCTTCCACCTCTTCTGTTTTATGCTTTGCAAACAAACTATTAGGCAAGATAGTTTTCAATCATTTACCTTCAGTTCGTCTTGAGAAGCAGATGAAATTACTTAAACTGGTAACAGCAACCAATATGCTCTGAGGCTATAGAGATAAGTAACAATATGTTATCATATATGTTAATGGATTGTTTCTGCTCTCTACCATATGTTGCTATCTTCAAGCCATTAGACAGACTACTATTATACAGGCTTCTGGAGACACATAAAGAAAGGCACAGCCCCCCTCCCCCATCAGAGAAGTCTTCATCAAGTAGGCTCCACCTATTCTTTCCAGGATTTTGCCTCATACCCCAGTGTAAGACTTTGAAATTTACTCTGCATGAGATGGAAAACCATCAAGAGGCCTTGAACACAGGAGTGACATAATATTTTTAGATGGTCCTTCTGGCTGTTAAGTAGAAGACAGACTGAAGGGGTCAGAGAAAATAATTAGAAAGTAACTTCAATAATCTAGGTGAGAAGTGATGGTGGCTTGGATCAGGGTGGTTGGTGGAGTGGTGGGAAGTCAGATTCTGGATCTACTGCAAAGGTCAGATCTACCATTTTAACAGACATACAAGGTATATGATGCTAATGAAAGAGAAGTCAAAGATGACTAGAGATTTTGCTTTGAAAAATCCAAGAAAGAAGTTTTTTTGAAAGAAAGACTATGTGAGGAACAGATTTCAGGGAGAAAAATCAAAGTTTGCTTTAGGTGTGTTAAGTTTGAGATATTTATTAGATACCCAAGTAGAAAGTCTGACTATGGAAATGAAGTGATAGTCCCCAATTCTTGAAGTCATTGGCATATAGGCAGTATTAAAAGCCTGGATGAGAAAGTGAGTATTCCAAAGAATTGAAGGCATGCTCATGTTCATGGTCAGAAACATGAGGAGGAACAGCAAAGACTGAGGTGGAACAGAGAGGGGTATCTGAAAAACAAATTGAAGAAAATGTACGAAAAGGAATGGAGTAATCAACAGTGTCCTAGCTACAGACATTAATACAGTGAAAGTTGACTGTTGGATTTGACACTGTGGAGATAAATGATGGCTGATAGTTGTTTGACAGGTGACTGGGGACAAGGGCAACAAAAGTCTAATTAAGTGGATTCAAGACAGAGAGGAGAAGAATTAAAAGCAATGTGTATGGAGAACCAGAGAAATTAAATTGTTGCCTTATGTTGGAAAATGTGGATTGGGATGTAAGGAGGATTAGTTGCACAGGACTTCTTTGATAACATCTAAGGCAAACAGTGAGTGAAATATTTTAATAAACTTTTTTGCTAGAGGCTTGAGAGCCAGTCATTTATCCAGCAAGCTGTCAGATGTTTCAATTATCCACATCTGAGCAAGATGCAAAAAAGGGTTTGGGCAGGAAGACAATCGATGATTTGGGCCTTTACATTTTACTGAAAGCATTGATGATTGAAGCAGAAGCCACACATTTGATAGTACAGGTGTCTCCCTTTGTCCGATTCTAGTCTGTTCCTAGAAATGTTGATCAGTAAATTTCCAAGCAGTGGAAGCTCTTTCCATTATTTTAAATGGGAAAAATAACAAATTATCCTGCTTCATCGAAGAATCTCAACCAGTTTCCCTAAATAGCACTAAAACACTGTTAGACACCTATACTTGGGTAATGCCCAATGCAGAATGCATGTATTGTTTTATATAACAATTCACCAAGAATTTATGCATAATTTTAAGCATTTAAAATACCAATGTTCTAGTGCTTACTTAGTGAATATATCTGGGTACAGCATGGAGAGTATGATAACAGATCCAAGCCATGTTTTCCCTCCATGGTACAATGAATATTTATGAATGTAATTTAACAAAAATGAAATGTTAAACATAACAATTACAAAAACCATTGAAAAAATAAACAAGAATTTTTTGAATGGTTGCTTAGTAATTAAAGAATTGCCTAAATTAAATGAGGTGGGCTGGAGACGCTTGAAGGACTAAGTGAACCATAACTGCTTAAGATTTCCCTGTGGCTAAATCCTGGGACAATCTTCTCTCTTTGACACTGGAGATGCTGGAATTGTGGGACTGTGAGCTGTCAAGTGAAGCTGCAGATGAAGCGGCTCAAATCTTATGTTTATTTGCATTCTTTTTGCTTTCATTTGTACAGCTCTCAACAGCATGTGACTGGGGTTGTGACTGCATTTTTCAGTGTGATTTTACTCATGTTGCTTGCAACTGCAATTATCATTTTGTCTACATCACCTAAATTATTTTATAGATTTGACATTGAATGTTTATTTCTCCTTTTCTTCTTCTTCTGATCAACAATGAGTGTCAAGTTCATCAAGTTCTACTTTATTAGAAATAAGGTTTCCACTTGATAATGTGGAGTACATGCACATATCTCATGTATAACGTATTTCAAGAACGTGGTCCTAGGGCAAGAGGGGCTGAATTAAAACAGCAGCTGCACACCTTATCATTCAGACTCAGACACAACTTAAACATTTTGTTTGGTGTTCACATGCAGATTATAATGGATTTTGAATTCAGGTGCTGAGTTTTTGAACAAAAAATTTTGCAAATGAATAGTCAGTGGGAATTCAGATAGCAAAGGACACCTGCAAATAATGTTCACCTAAGAGATAGGACAGGCCTAGGTATCACACAGTCCTGGATCCATGGCCTGGTTCCCCATATATGAGCTTGTATGATCTTGAATAATGTAATTAACCTCTATGTGCCTCCATTTCCTTAAATGTGAAATGGAGATAATACTACTTAACTTACAGGGTTATTATATCACCATAAAGGTGTAATGTAGTGTCTGGCAGACATATTAAATGCCTAATTAAAAAAAAAATCTAGCAGTGTGTGAGTATAAACTACAGAAGTTTAAAAGGGAAGAAATCAATAATATAAACTGAATACAGCTTATGTATTACTGAAGTAATTTGGGGAACATGAGACTAATTATCATTATGCACAAGAGAATAGATGGAAGCCATGTGTTTAAGAGTAAGATGACTCACTGTAAGTTACATTTTCTTTTTCATCTTGGCATTATCTTTTGAGAAAGCAGTGCCCACTGACTTAGGGTATTACTGAATGTTTGATGATGTTAGTAAAAACTGAATTCTCTCAGTTTGTTCTTTAGCCACAGCGATAATTAGCTCATTGAATTCTTCTAATAGCCATAGCCTGTTCACGTTATAGTAAGTACAGGCCAGTGGCTATTTCCCAACACATTTGTATGTACTTTCTAGAGCTCAGGTTCTTACAGTTGGTTACCACTTATACAAAGATTTTGCAGAAAAAGTCCTGTTGCCAGTGTAGTCCTCAAGGCTCAGTGCATCCCTCTCCGACCGCCCCCCCCCCAGATATCCTAGATCAGTGTTCCTTGTTTCCTAGGATTGACCTTCTGCCTGTAGTCTGAAATCATCTGCCTAATTTTCCTGACTTGTGTCTCAGACTGCTGGAATTCTGAGCCTGTCTCAGCAATTGTCTTTCCTTCCCCAGAGATCCTCATGCTGATCTTTGATCTATAAGCCACTGCCTAATGTCCTATCATTGAGAAAAAAAGAAGTAATGAGCCAGGCTCCACCAAAGCCTAAACTCTTTGAGCTTTGCCTCTGAGATCTGATGCCCATAAAGAGTATGAGAGTTCACTCACATCAGACAAATGAGACAGTGAAGAATGTGGACTCTGGAGACAGACTGCAGGGGTTTAAATCCTAGCTAACCATGATCTTGAAAATGTTACTGAACCTCTTTATGGCTATTTGTTCACTTCTAAGGCAGAGATAGTAGCAGTCTCTTCCTTACAGATTATTATGAAGAATAGGCAAGTTTCTACATGCTCAGAATTGTGCCTATGCATATTAAGTGCTAAATAATTACCAATGATAATGAAAACAAAATGCCTTCCAGCAAACAAATACCACCTAGGTTACTTAGCATAACATCCAAGGGCCTGCACAGTATTTTTTTTTTTTTAACTGTAAGATGGGTGGGTATAACTACCTCACTGCAAAACTTTTACTTGGAGGAAAGGTTGCAACCGATAAATATTAAGTTGCTTCTTTTTCTCCTCTATGGCTGCCTAAGTTTGTGGCCTGGCTCAATTTACTATACCTCTTTCATCTATATCCTCATCTGTAAAATGAAGGCATTGAACTAGGTGATGTCCATGTTCTCTGCCAGATCTAAATTCCAAAATTACGAAACTCATTATCTTTTCCCTTTAAAATCCACTTATTAAATCTACTCATTCTCTGAGAGGTTTTTTCCTTTATAGCTTTTCAATGTTTTAACATATTAAATTTTATTTAAATATATTAATGTTTTAATATATTCCGCTTCTCTCTCTCTCTTTCACTCTCTCACTCTCACTCTCCCTATACAGTTGTCCAGACTCAGGGCCTCGGCACATCTCTAGGGATCTTTTGTTCAATGAGAGTAATAGGCACCTGGAACTCCAGGGATATTGCTATGCAGCATCCCTCAGTCCACTGCTGGCTGATTCCCTTTCACAGCAGGGAACAGTGGAGTTCACTGAGCACATAGCAAGGAACAGTCTCCAGCTTTCCTTGGGCCTGGAAAAAGGGATCTTAGGTTAAAAATGAAAAAGAGTAATAACCACGGGGCCATTTGGATCACCACATTCACAGCCTTTTCTGTTTTGTCACAGACTTTGCAAATGGGCATTAAACATTTCTCTGGACTCTTTGTGCTGCTGTGCATCGGATTTGGTCTGTCCATCTTGACAACCATTGGTGAGCACATAGTGTACAGGCTGCTGCTACCACGAATCAAAAACAAATCCAAGAGGCAATACTGGCTGCACACCAGTCAGGTGAGTGCCTCAAGTCTCTTGCTCCCATATTCTCAGCCTTCAGGATTCCAAACGATGAGACAATCTAGACTGGCAAATGGCACATTATCAGACTTCTCTTGGCACATAAACAAAGGAATGAGGTGCCGTAGGTACTCTCTGAAGATGGATTTCCTTCTATCCCAGAATTCACCTTCCTTTTGTTATCCCAGTGTCACTTCTGTTCCCATAAACCTTTACTGCTCATAATAGATACAATAGAACTGTTCTTAATCAAATTTCACTTAATAGTGACAATAGTGAAGAGAGGTAGGAAAAATCTTTTTCCCACAGATTCTTTTCTTGTTAAAATTAAAACCCAATAAATGAGTTTGAAGTTCCTGTTCCCCTTTAGGTGACTGCATTTGCTCCTGTTCTCTTTTTCTCTGGCCCCAAAGTTTGAGGCCCCCAATCCCAAGAACAAGCCGCACAAGAGCACAGTTCTTCCGTATAATCCAGACACCAACACATGGGTGTATTTAGAGGAAGAAGCAAAACTGTCGATAGACTGAACATTCAGGCACACTGGTTTACACATGTCTCCCTGTAGGAAATTGGCCGGAGAGCCAAAGGGACTCAAGTGTCTTATGATGGAGGGACTTTAGCAATGGCCACTGTGACAGTGAGGCGGATGTGCTGACCCAGCCTCCCCATGGAGAAATCCCTCCTGCCTCCCACTAGGCTCTGGGTCTCCTCTCGGCAGCAAGGTTGCCAGTTCTGTCACTTTTACCCCCTCTGTCCTCTTGCTGACCTCCTTGCTTTGTTAGTGCAGTACCTTTTTTTCCCCAGGATATGTTACACTCATTAGTTTAGTTAATAAATTCTAGTCTTCCTATTTTCATCTCCTGGGAAGACTGCAGACAAGTGATGTCCTCTATTCTGTGATAATATGATTACTTTAATTCCCAGGAGTTCTCCTTCCCTTCTTCGTCTTGGTTACTAAGAAATTCAACACTTAAGATTTTGACTCTTTACTAGCAATTTCATAAGGACTTTAGCTATGCATGAATTATGATAGTGCTTCTTTCTCTCACATTTATAAGCTTTTACTAGATCACTTTGCTTTTCCCCCATGTAGAAAAATAACTTAGAATTCTTATTATAGAGATTAGGGGCTGATTGTTGATCCATTATCAGGCAACCCTGGAAATTTGGTTAAAGAGGCCAAGGTTTGCAGCAACTAGGTACTCCATTAAATCGCAAGTGGTACTTTGTCCCCTGACCTGTGTTTCTAATGATCTCTACCTGTCAATCTGTTTTTCCCACCAGAGATTTCATAGAGCATTGAATACATCATACATAGAAGAAAAGCAGCAGCGTTTCAAGACCAAACATGTGGAAAAGAGGTAAGAAGAGGTCAATGCCAGCTGTCTTTGTATTTGCTAAAATAAAAGTTTAGGAATGTAGCTAAGACTCCATGTGCAAAATAGAAGTTATGACTAAATAATGATTCAGATCAAATCAGGACAATTTGTTGATAAAATCAACATGAATACATGTAGTTTCTGACAGAACAAAATAAAACATAAAATAAACAAATATAGACACATGTATGGACACTGAAATGTAGCAAAGCCAAAATAATCTCCTGGCTACAAGTGCAGGTGTGGACCCAGGAGTAGTGCATCATGTATTCAATCATGTCTCCAGCACCTATATGTGCAGTTTTGGTCAAGTTATTTAACCTTTCTGTGCTTCAAGTTTCTCATCTAGGAAATTGAGATAAAAATAGTACCCGCAGTCAGGCTTGCGGGCACATTGTAATTCTGGAACTCTGGGAAGCTGAGGCAAGAGGATCACAAGTTCAAACCCGCCTGGATAACTTAGCAACTTAGCAAAGCCTTGCCTCAAAATAAAAAATAAAAAGCTGGGGATGTAACTCAGTGCAAAGACCCTGGATTCAACCCTCAGTACCACAAGAAAAAGGGGGGCCTGCTTCCTAGAGTTGTTGTATGAATTCAATGAGATAATACATGTAAAAATCCTGAAAAAATTTTTTTAAAATATTAGCTATTGCTGTATACAAAACAATAATATTTCATGATATTACAGGCAATTAATTTTATGAGACAGTCTTTTTGTACATTTCCAGTCCCCACCCCTTTCCAGCACTCCTAGAAATATTTGAAATATGTGATAACTATGTCCTGCCTAATCTATTTCCCAACACGTAGAACTCCCTAGAAAAGAACACTTCATTCATTGGCAGGAGCATGCATTAAATGCATCAGTGACATTTGAAAACTCACACTTTATACCTTCTCCATAGCCAGGCTATGGATGGCAGCGGCCTTATTCATGGTGACTGAAGATGACAAAAGCATTTCAGTCTGGTTCCTCGTGGCTTCTGTTGCCTGCTGCCTAAGGCAGCCCTCCTGATCCTTTCATATGCCCAGAGGCTTCAGAGGAGGCATCAGCTGTCCTAACTCAGCCATGTGTGGCATAGCCTTAGCTTAAGGCTTGGCTTTCTGGATAGGTTTGAAATCTGACACTCTTACCTCTCATTCAGAACAGAATAAAAAAGGGGGCAGACAACATGACTTTTTCTTATTTGCTCATATTCCTGTGGGGCTGCTGCAGTCCTTTCTCTCCTGGTTGCATAGAGCTTGTCAGAATCATTTCTATTATCTCTTAAAGCCTCTCTTTCCAGTCAATGGGCACTTCCTGCCTCCTCCGTTTGTGGCATCCTGGTATCACTGTGCAAATCACTTAGTGATAAGCTGTAGACCAATCAGGTCACAGCTGTTTAGTGTCTCATTACATTTGGCTATGATTATTTTTGACATAAATTTTAACCAGAGGAACATAAGAAGACACTGCAGCAAAGATATCATCTACAGTTATAAAATATTTCTTTTCCAGCAAGAATAGAAACAGGAAGCCCTATGATCCCATTTCCAAATATGATATGATTCTTACATCTATTTCACCTCAATTCAGGGCCAAATGTGTCCATTCACTCAAATTTTAACCTGGAGAAATGAGACTGCAGCAGCTCTCAAGCAGATACAAACAATGAAAAGGAATCATGTTATCCACCCCATTTTCTTCTGTTATGGATGAGAAGTACTAGTATCTTGGACTTCATTTCCTGTGCCCACCTCCCTATAATCCAGCACCTACAACCTTCTAAACACAATAAGTCCTAGGGGTCCCACAGCTGTCAAGTTTCTTTTGAATGGTCCAGTGAAGCACTGAACCTCAATGTTAAATAATTGTTTTGTAGATGCCAATTTTGCCCATTTTTAGTGTGAAATACTGGTCACTCGCTGGTCATGTTAGGCTCTTAAAACTGAAGGATGCCTGATATAAAACACAACCTAAACATCACTGAAGCCACAAATATAACACTCATTCCATGCAGTTAGACCCTTATATTCAGTATCTGTCACCTTGAGCCACACATCAATCATTAGAGCATAGAGATACCAGCAACTACAGTTTATCACAAAAGAAGCCAGCTCTTGCTTATTCTTCTACATTATATTCCCAGGTAGATACCCAAAGCTCTGGAGAACACCAAACTGGCTTTCTCTCCTTACCTGATCACTGGGGTTACCCGGTCAGTCCAAGAAAATGGGTAGATTCTCTACTCCCAGGTTTTCCCCACTATAATCATCATTCTATGGTACTAGTTATGTGTGCTGATTTGAAAATGTTCTCTCCCTCTTTTCTTGGAAGAATAACTATGCAAATAACTGCTCATGACTGCTACAAATTGACATGCTCCCCTATGCTCAATATTTATTGAATGAATGAAAGAACAGATAAATAGTTAACAGTGAGCTTGAGGAAAGGCTTGGAGAAATTTGGACTATATACGGAAGCAAATGTTCTTTTTTTCTTGAATGGAGAGAAAAAGTGGATGTTGGAAGACTTTTATATATCTAGTTATTGATTTATTCAATGTGAAAAATTAAAGAGAACTCTATGAGGCTGGAAGAAAAATTAACACTGTATCTTCTCTCCAATTCTAGTCTAAAGTCAGTGGAGCTATAAGTAGCTTCATTATAGAACTTTTATCCAGCCCAGGACATAGGAAAACTGAATTCAGGTGCCCTCTGATTGTTCATAGGAGAAAAACTAAGCAAAATCTTAAAGATCTACATAGTAGTTTGTGTGTTTTAATGGCCCAGAGAAATTTTCCGTTGTTTTTTGCTTTGTGAGAAATCATACCAGTACTTAGTGTTTGCAGCAATAGGGGATGCTTATGAATTCATGGATTAGCTGTGTAGTTTGCTGGTCTGAGTCAGACTTGGCTGAATTGGAGTGAGCTGGCTCATGTCGTCAGCCAGCTTGGAAAGAGGGTAGGAAGCAGCTAAAGGCTATCTAGTCAATGGTAGCCTCAGCTGGGTCAATTAGAAAGATGGAGGACTTTCCACATGGTCTAGCATCAGCAAGCTAAAGAGGCCTTGTTCACACTGTGGCAGCAGGGATCAGAGAATGGCAGAGTATAGGTCTTCTTAAAAGCTTAGGCTTGAAACTTCCAATTTTTCCATTGCTGAAATGGCTGAATGAGACGAGACCTCATTCAAGGAGAGGGTAAGCAGGCTCTCCATCCTGATAGACACGAGCAACAAAGTCTCAGTACTGAGGGACATGGGTGAAAGGAGGAATGAAGGATCAGACCACTTTTACAATCTACCACAGGGCAAAGCAAAACAGAATCATTCTATTAAGTCTTTGTGGTTTTGTTCCCAACCATGTAACTGCATCACAACCTTATTATCTGTCCTGTTGCCCCTGGCCCTCCAGGTTCTCCTTCTCTTCCTGGAAAATAAAAGTCCAGGAATAAAGTCAATTCAGTTATATGGATGGCAACAAAAATACAAGGATTTAATAGAGTGTTTCTAGTATGCTTTGGCCTGTAGTCAACTGCAAAGTGATCGTAGTCCTCCTCCTCTTCTTTCTTCTCACAGGGTAGAAGAAAACCAGCAATTACACTGCTTAGGGCTCTAATATGTTCTTGTGAGAAACTCTTCTCATTGTATCCAACTTGCAAAGTGTATTTCAGAAAGAAAATCAATTCATCCAGCACCTAGCTGGCAATGACTTGCTTACTGTTTGCAGCCACTTCTCCACTATTGTATGTGGTACAATGTAAGCCTGAAACAAACTTGTTTCTAATTGACTTTCATTACCCCAGCAAGAAGCTGTGACTTTTGAGTGATTTTTTTTTTTTAACATCAGACCTGACTTGTCATTTTTGATCCACATAAAGTCATTCCTTTACTGAAAAACACTTTGGTGAAACCTGTGGCTTACATATCTTTATTCTTCCCAAAATCAAATAGTGAGCATTAGCAAGTTCTGGTAGAATTAAACATGAGCTATATATAGTAATATCCATCTGCAGACTGATGCTAAGATTATAATATCTGAATAAATGCATTTTCACTCTTACTACAGTATCATATTTACAGCTAAAGGATGTTTCAAGGTAGTGCTGCTTTCTAAGCTTTGTCTGAAGGAAGGGAAGTCATCTAAGGTTCCTCTCAAAAGAATGTGCCAGGGCTGAGGATATAGGTCAGTGGTGCCACTGCCTGCCTCACAAGGGCAAGGTCCTGAGTTCGATCCCTGGTACCAAAAAAAATAAATTAATGTGCCAGAGCCATTGTATCAAATGATACTAATCCAGTTGCAAAGCAGCATGAGACTTGATAAGATGTTGAACTTCAGTTGAGAGTTTATGGCATCTGTTGTGCCTATGGCATTGTAGGAGGCAGTCTTTCCATGGTTTCGTGACTTCATCTCTAAGTGCATACCCAGCTCCATATTCTCCCTCCAAAAAGTGGCCAACAGATGGAGAACAGCACTCTGAGAGTTGCAGAATGGAATGTGAATCTGAACTGACTCTGTTTCCTAGGACCAACATGGGACCCCGTCAGCTCATGGTATGGAATACTTCCAATCTGAGTCATGACAACCAACGAAAACACATCTTCAGTGATGAGGGAGAACAAAACCAGCTGGGCATCCAGACCCACCAAGACATCCCTCTCCCCATAAGGAGAAGAGAGCTCCCTGCCACCAACGGGAAAGCAGATTCCCTTAGCCTAGCTCAGAACTCAGTGATGCAGGAACTCTCAGAGCTGGAGAAGCAGATTCAAGTGATACGTCAGGAGCTGCAGTTGGCTGTGAGCAGGAAAACGGAGCTGGAGGAGTATCAAAGGACAAATCGGACTTGTGAGTCCTAAGCAATCACACTGCTCCCTGTTGTTCTCAGCTCCTAACATTCCTGAGCCCTTGAGACACTTTGTAATGCTCTTTTGTAATGATTGACAAAGGTGTGGGGAAGCTGAGGTCTAGGTCTTTAAGTCTACTCTCCCAACCTACCCTGCAGCAGCAGCTTTTCCCAAGCTCACCTCCTAGGTCTCCAGGGTAGGAATCTTTTCATAGCAGGAGTCTGAAGTTGGTCAGAAGTAAACTCCATGTAAGGAATCTGTTAACCAGACAACCCCAACTCCTGTTAATTGTTTCACCAGGTGCCACAGTAACATTTCTGGTTTTTAGCCAGCCCTTTCTCTGTACTAGTAACAAGAGATGAAATTGTTACTCATACCTATGTCTTACTAGGTTGTTGGTCCTAATCTTAATATAAAATAGGATTATCCAGGGTTATTGATTAAAAACAATTCCCCAATATAGATTTGTTCTACATTCTGAGTGGGGAGCAGGCTAATAGCTAGAGAAACTTGGGGGAGAGGGGATACTTAAAGTTAACTGAATGTAATCACTGTGGGCAAGGATTGATTGGATCAGACAAGAGGGACATACTTGAAAAAAATGTGTATCTCTGGCCCCATCCTGATTAACAGTAGGGACATGTTTACACACCATTATGAAAGAGGACAGAGATGTGGTGACTGAGAGCAGAGGACAGGCAGAAGAGACATTATAAATGCATCCCCACACTTTTAGAACAAAACTTTTGGGCCAGAAAGGCAACTTGGCTAAGCAATGAATAGGACTACATTTCTAATCTAGCTAAGCATCTCCACTATAGTGTGTGCCTTTTATAAAAGAAACAAAAAAAGAGAAAAGCAAAGTGAGGTTGTGGCCACAGGATGAAGCTGGAACATCCCTGCTAATTGCCTATAACAGGGTAGGTGAGCTGGCACTATGGGTTAAGTATTCTGCATGCCACATACTAGGCCATTTTCAGATCAGCAGTCATCTATTAGCCATAGGATCCCAAAAGTGAATCTTGAGCCTCACAAGTGAATCCTGAACATCACAAGTTTCAACATTCAGGAGTCTGCCCTGTGCTTTTCACACCTGTATAGTAATCACCAACTCAATCTCCTGTCCTCACACCCACTCATCTCTGAGGAGCTATGTACAGGTTTTGGCTCCTTTCATTATTCTCCAGGCCCCATCTAGTGCCCACAGAAGACTGATATAACTCAGCTTCCCCTCTGCCTAGAAATCCCTTTCCCAATGTACAACTGGTTGGGCATGCAGAAAGGAAAGGAATATTGGGAACTTCAGAACCTCAGCTCCCAAAGATTAGCATATTTAAGAGTTATCTAGGGGACTCATCAGAGTATTGATTGCCAGGACCCTTCCACAGAGATTATAGGACAAGGAACTGGTGGGGCGCTGAGAAACCTAATGTTAACCAACATCCCCGTGACATGCACAGGGCATCCTAAAATTACTCCTGGAGAAACACTGCTCTGGAAGTTTGGCTGCCCCCAAGCACAGGAAGATGTGAGGAAGAAACTTTTTTTTTTCTAAGGGGACATACTAGAGATAGGAGAAAACTTTAAATTTCAGCGCACATCTGCTGATTCACTTTCTAAACCCCCACCATGGCTCCAGGACACCATTTAGGACTAAATTTCCTTGTTTATCAATTACTGCTTTATCCTCTCAGTACTCACTTCTGTGCCCAATCATTCTGAAAAAATCTACAGTGAGTTCACAGTACTGAGCCAAGCAGCACGCAGATCCTTAGAAAGGTGTCTCAATCACAAAGTCTCTGTCTTGACTTCTGAATACAAAGTCTGCATTTCCACCCAGAGCTACCCAGGGAAAGATAACCCCTTAAGCTTTAGGTATCACTCTAGCAATTAGTTAATTGGCTGAGAAAACCAAGGAGTGAAGGTAAGCTCAGTGATACTGATAAGGGAGGTATGAGGGCTCTAAAATTAAGCTTCAACAACCTCCCCAATCAAACAGTTCTACAGTGGGGGAAAACAGCTGAGTCCTAAAAGCAAAAAGGACAGATCACTTTGAAAAACTGTCCTCCCACGTTCTCACCCCAGGCCCCAAAGTAGATTTACAGCTGCCTATGGAAGATGAACCCTGACACCACCCATCTGGAACTAGAGACTCTGCCACCCTACTCTGAGCACCCCTGGGTGTCTGTGCAGCATAGAAGGCTGAGGTACAGGTGTACCTCAATCCACGTATGCTCCCATTGTTGTACATGGACATTTTTGTAACTCAATTCATATTCTGACTGTACTTAAGAAGCTGGCTATTTAAGGGAACCCAGAGGTGAATTTTTTTGTAAAGTATAGATCCCTTTTGTAATCCAATTAATTATCCCTTAATGTACCTGTTTTGTAAGTTTGGATTTTTGTATATCGGGTTTACCTTAAGCTTCTCTACTGAGGCATTCTGAGCAGTGGGAATCAGACGCCAGATTGCCCTGCCTATCCACAGAGTCAAAGACCAGTGCATGCTCAAGTATCTTCAGAGGAACTACCCAGCCAAAACAGTGGCCGAGATGCAGCAAGACGCAGCAGGGACTGAAGGCAGCCTTACTGCAGCCAACACTGCTTGAAATACTTCCATGTTCTGGATAAAGAAAAACCATAATTGCTTGTGGTGAAATGAAGCTGTCTTCATGTTAAGTAACAATGGTTTTTTTCAATGGTAGTAATTGAACAGTGTTTTGCAATTTGTGAAACAGTGTGTTGTGTTTTGTAAAAAGATTTTATTAAAGGGTGGATCCCTGAAAACTTCTTTTCTGTTCTGCTCCACCTTGGTTCACTCAACTCCCCTCCTCAGGTTAAAAAAAAAAATTAGTGGAGGGTTGTATTTTGGCAAATTAGAAAGAGCTAAAGGTGCTTTTGCTTCCTCTGCTGAGTTCCCATTTCATGAGATCAGGAAGGCCTCCATTTCCTTTTACTCTCCAGTATTGGGAAACCTGGAATATGACAAACTGTCTCCCACCAGGGGAAGATTGAGTAGGCTGGAACACACAGGACTAGTCAGTTCATGTAAGTAAGAGTAAGTCCAAAAGTCCCAAAGTTTATATGCCACAGGCAGAGAAAGGAGATTCCTCCAACAGAAACAAGTTGGAAGAAAGACTGGGATCGCCAAGTATGACAGCTACAGGGACCTGATCAGTTATGCCTGGAGGCGACTCATTATTCATGAATCTTGTTGTTGCACAAACTTTTTAAGAGAGCTGTTGCTTCTCATATAGCCCAGCCCAAGAAGTGGAAAGTGGAGCAAGATCCAAGCAAAACAGAGCTATATCATCTGGGTAATAGACTTCTCAGTGCTGGGTCCATCAGAGCCTTGGAGCAAGTTATGAACCTCCTCAGTATAGAAAACGGGAAACTACTTTTGAACCTCTTTTCCTCCCAACTCATAATTTGACAAGCAGGCCAGAATATCTAGTCTTCAGAAGAAATTGCTTTTTAGTTAAAATCACTTCACCACCTGCAGCTTAGTTACTCCTTTCCTCACTCACCTAAACCATCCATCCACTCCAGGATTCCCTTACTCTTCGTTTTGTCACTAATCATTTTATGAAAATAATGTATTTATAAGTATTTTCTTAAGGTTTGTGAAGAGTATTTGCATTGTGTCTTCATTTTAGTGTGTTTGCAATCGCTCTGCTCCAAGAACTGAAATGCTGTCTTGTGAGCATGAAGTAAATGGGCTGCTTTGCTCCAGCCACTTTTCTTGTACAATGTGTGGATGGACTAAATGTCCTCAGGTCTTTTCCATCTTCAGTTTCTATGACTGTGGAATAAATGTTCAGACAGAAACTTCACCTATGGATGTATTGCTGGCATTCTTTAGGGATTCAAATGCTGACAAGTTATCAGCTCCTTTGTACAGGAGACCCACTGATGCTATCATCTGTCTGTTTCCTTGGTATAATCTAAAGAAGTAGCACAAGATATTCTCAGAAAACTCAGAGCCCAAGTATCATGAAATAGAACTGAAGTGGCTTCATCTGAGATATTCTAGGAAAAATATACAACATTCACAGACCTCTAAAAACTCTGCCCTGATGTCCTCATTGAGTAATTCAACAAATATTTGTTAAATAGATTCCATGTATATGCCAAATACTAGAGAAACAATAGTGAACAAGGAGGGTATAGTTTTCTTGAGACCTTCTCAGTCTGATCTTTTCACAATCAATAAACAGACAATAATAGATAACATTTATTGGGCACTTACTATAAACTATGATCTCATTTAAAAATTAAAACCAGCCTTATTAGACAGGTAATTCATATTTACTCTGGAGGAGGCAAATGAGACCTCTAATTTATAGGTGAAAAAACCAAATCAGAGAAATTACCGAACCTGCCTGAAGTCACACAGCTAAGTCATAGCAAGAGATTCATACACAGTGCGACTATACAGTATCATTAGGATTCTAATCATTGCCTTCCTCCTCCTCCTCCTCTAATACTCATTAGAATTTCTCTTACTACCCAGCCCCTTGCCTCAGCTGGCCCCCAGTTTTACACATCAGAGATAAGCTAATATAACTGTATTTGCATTAATCCATTCATTTCCACCATAGCCCCTTAAGTCTCACAAAAATAGTGTTCAGCATCAATTCTTTCTGCCTTCTAGCCCAAGAAGTGGTACACAGGTGCAAATCACTCAACAGTCCTGCAGTTTCAGGTGTGTTGGCAGTTTCTGTTAATAGTTGTGGCCAATGGCAGACTTACCATATGAATCTGCTAGCCTGATGTATTCTCCACGTGTATTCTTTTGAAAAGTCCAATCTCATAAAAAGATATAAACTTATGAACTTACCCAAGGCTGCATCATTCAACTATTGGTTTTTGGATTCCTACTGTGAGCCAAGCATTGGGATAGTTGTTCTCGACAGATAAATAAAAGCAGATCCTGATCTCATGGCCCCATGGAGCTCAATCTAATGGAGGAACACACACTGGTAACCCAACTTAGGTTAGATAAATGCACATCAATTACTGTGGGAACAAAGAAGACACTCTGTGTGTATGTATGTGTGCACGCGTTTATGTGTGTACACACTTGGATTGGGTGGAGGGGAACAGGCATCTCAACTAAAAGGAACAACATATGAAAAGTTCCAGAGTAGGAAATCATGGCAATCAGAGAACTGAAAACCTAAATAGTTCAAAGTGACAGAAACATAGGCACAAAGTGGATGACAAGCTTAAGAAATAGAAAGAGAAAAGCAGACGTAAGATCACTGTGCTAAGTCCAATTTGTATCTGGAAGACTATAGAAACTTTATGTTAAAGAATTTTAAGCTGAACAGGGACATACTTAAAGACAGGATCCTCACCACTAGGTGGCAGTGGCTGTCACTCACATGACATTTGTTTTTAACAGAAACAAGTTAACTTTTTGATGTTTTGGAATGAGTTGGCCATGACAACATTTAACCAGACAGACTAGAGGTAAATAGGCATAAATAAAAATATGTGGCCTAGATTTCAGGGAGGATGTAAGACATCCTAGGAATCAGAAAAAAATGTAAGTAGAACGAAAATTTTAACCTCTTAATTTTATTATGTTAGCTTTTTATTGAGCACATAATAAACACCAGACACTGTACTGAATGTATCTTACATACTTAATCTCATAACACACTGAAGCAAAGGTGTGCTACTGGACTCTAAATGGACATGGAAACAACAAGGAGTACTTACCCAAGGTCTGCTTACATCTGCATTATCAGGATAAAAATGCTAGGTTTCTGTAAGGCTTCACAAAGACTTCAAAATTACTCAGAAAATATATTCACCTCTTATCTTCCTGATGACAAACACTATTGGTACAGGTCTCCACTTACTCTGTGCCTTAACTGAGTGACCCTTGAGCCCATTTCCCCATCTCTAAAGTAAGGATGTGGTCTGAAGGTCCTTTTCAGCTCTCACACCCTACCTTTCAAACCATTCTATTCTATATTCAGCATCTTGAAGTCCTTCAAGCATATCATTATAGTGACATACTACTGTTCAAATTTTGTTCACTTCTCTCAAAAAACCTGTAATAAGAGCTGGGGATGTAGCTCAGTGGTAGAGCACTTGCTTAGCTTGTGTGAGGCCCAGGGTTCAATTCCCTATAAGGTTCAAAAACCTACAATAAAAGATTTGGCCATTATGGAATACCTCTACAGAGATGACAGTTTAAGAATTCATAATTCCTTTTGCTACAACCATAAAAAATTTTAAAATACAGTCATAAATATTAGGATAACTCAAATTTGAAAAATTACTTCCATATATGAGGAAAGACTGTTTCCACTTACAGGATGAAAAACAAATGAATAGTAAGCTTTGAATTCACAAACTGACCCAAAAAAATCAGATGCCTAAAGATCTGGCAGCAGAATGAGGTTGAATTAACTCAAATCATAGGAATATTCACTGAATACCATTTGCCCTTGCTAGATTTGGGGAATTACATTTTTAAAACATTCTTTCAAAAGCAAAATTTTAGTAATTGTTAAGTATGCTATCAATAAGACCTTATTTGCTAAGGTTAGGAAGGGACAAAACTTGGGCAGAAATCCCCAGAAGGTAAAGCTCAATTTTTCTTTGTGAAGGGTCAATCAGGTGTTTCCAAACCTTAAGATCTAGGAATTTTCTAGTATTTCTATACCAGGTATTTCCCATAGTGTTATTCCAACCTCCACACAAGCCCCCAAGGTTCTGCTTACTCTCAGTGGAACTATCTTAAGTCAGCTCTGTAAGTCACCCAGGAAGACTTTTTTGAGCCCAAATGTTCCTGTAGACCAACTGGGACTTGAGTTTATCAGTCAACCTGAGTTCACCCCCAGAAAAAAACCTTAAGGAACAAAATTTAAAGGGATTCCACACCAGCAAATGACACTGGGAACAGTGATTAGCATTTAGTGTCCTGCAAGAACAAGAATCAACATCCCAGGAGGTCTAAAAGACAGATGATCATTTCTTTATTGTCACAATATCAAATCACACTCATCACTCCAGTGGCATGTACATCATTCTACAAACACAGAACTTTTGCCCTTGAAAAATAATTACATCTGTGTATCTGGACAGAGAATAAAATAAGGAATACAATGAAAATTCATGATGAATTTAACAGCTAGCAGAAACAGCTTAAAACCTTTGAAAAAAGTCCCTAAAGTAAGTAAAAAGAGATAAACCACATGGTTAAGATGCATGCTTCAGACACAGCAAACTTGATTTTCATCAAAATTGCTGAGAAATTTCCAGGACCAAAAAAAAAAAGGAAAAACTTTAAAGACAATCCCTACAAGATATGAAACGTTTAACTTAACAAGCCTATAGTACTTCTATATCACTGAAAGTGGCATTTATAGGTATTACTTTGAAGAAATAAATCCCTTTGAAGTTCAGATGGATCTATAGCTGTGGTTTCCAATCTTTGGAAGATTGTAAATGTTCCAAATTTCTTTAAGAATCTGAAAAAGTGAAAACTAATATACATACAACACAAATGAAAACTGGTAATACATAATAGCCCATTCACTGACTATTTCTATAGTCAGAGAAACTAGATTGCCAAAAGAAAGTCTCCCTTTTTGGTCATTATCTGAAATTACTTTGATTGCTTACTCTATCACTTTGAACTTAACTTCTCTACTAGAGGAGTTTCCCTGAAACCCAGCTTCCCATAGGATTAGTGTTTTCCTCCACAATATTCCACAAACCCCGGTCCCCTGGTGCTAGGCAACTGGCTTTCTCAGGCAATTGTCATAAAGAGTTAATGTCTAAACCCAAACCATATGCTGCCCAAGTAGTCCATTTGTCCCTCAATCAACGAAGTTATTCTCAAGCTTCCCCTGTAAGAAAAGCAATCAGCAAAGAGAAAATGGTGCATTATTGTGTGCAAATGCACCTTGTGTCCAGGAGCAGGGGGCTTCATCCCACTGGGGATGTGTGTTTGTGTGAGTGTGTGTATTTGTCCCAGTTAGACTCATTTCTTAGCCCACATCATATGACTTTATGAAATTCATCACAAGTCCTACTGATTACAGTTAACAACTACAAAACAACAAAAGGTGAGGATCAGGAAGGATCCACTTTCTATGATCCCATACCCAAGAGAGGAAATTTCTGGCTTACTGGTTATTATAAAACTAGTAATTCAAGAACCCTCAATCTAAAAGTGCCAGGTAGTGATATAGTCCCTAAAAAACAAACCACTGACTCTTTCCCACCATGGTAAACTATGGAAGAGAATTCAGTAGTCAAACCATCATCTTTTAGGTACTCTCTCTCCTCAGAACAGACTCATTCAAACAGCTGAAAGAAACTACTTCAGTTAAGGAACTAAATACTTTAAACACAGCCAGCCTCTTAAACCAAGATGATTACTTCTGTTCAAGAGAATTCATTTCTAGAAAAGAAAGTATAAAATTAACTAGTAATAACAAAGAAAAATGTTTAAAAGAAAAATCACAAACACAAAAGAAAAGTGAATCCTGCTTTAATTAAAGCTTGTGGGGTATAAGGTCCTACAGAAACATTACAGAGAATCTTCTGGAAAACAGAGATCACAACCATCCCTACAGAAAGGAGGATATGAGTAATTCATAGCTCACCTAGACCTTTCTGTTTTAATTTCCCAGAGTGCACAGAAGTTCTCTTCACCATCTCAATCCTGTTCCTCATCTTCTCCCAATTTTGATTTCATCAGAAGACAAAAGGGGCTAAAACAGTTTGAAATTATTTTGGCCTCAAGAATTTAACATGTTAAGTAGCTAAACATTAAAAATGTAAATAACTTTAGCAGAAAGCCAGCTGACCTTAAGTTACTTTGCTAGTAAATGAGAAATAAGATTGAAATATCCTGGATATAATTTCACTAAGGCTTCAAACAATCCAGGAAAGAGGAGCACAATTGTTTCATTTTATAATCCAAGTTTAGAAAAATTTTACTACCCAAATGAAGAAAAGTTTGCACTCATGGATAGCTTATTTCCAAAAGGTCATTCCTCCAAAATAGTAGCACATTTGTCCTCTTTGTTCCCTTCTCCATGTCAAAAATACCAACTTGGTTTCTCAGGAGGAGTGGACAACCCAAGATTAAATGATGGACCCAAACAAAAAAATGTTTAGTCTCAAAGCAGGAAATAAACAAAGCTCATAGGAAAGACAAATACGAGTTTGTCTCTAATTCTTTCTAAAATCCCAGACTTGCATTTATCAGTCCCTTTCCCTAAAGTCACCTAGCTACTAGAGAGGAGAAACTGGATGTGAAGTCTGAGGAGGAAAGGGAATTGAGAGAAAAGGTTAATGAGTAAGTGCCTGGCTGGCCAGCTCCTCTTCTTCTCTTGACTTGGATCAACCAATGTAGATGCGGTGGAAATCATTGGCACCAAAAGCAGCATTACACTTGGGACATTTGCGCTGACGGGTGTCATAGCGCGTCTTCACACATTCAAAACAAAAAACGTGAAAACACTTGGTAAGTACAGCATCCTTTTTTCGCATGTTGCAGCATGGACAGGTCAAACGTGCCTAAAAAAGAAAGATGTCTGAGACTGAGCAATAACACAGGTTAACAAACCAAGTGGTGTCATATACAGTGATACCTCAATTCATGAACTTAATTCACTCCACAATTCTGTAAAAGACAGCCACATTTGTGTTTATGCGGGAAAGATAGCCACAGTCATATTTGTCACCTGAAGCAGTTTGCAAACAAAACAAAATTTTGCCAGGCACTTCTGTTTGCAAACCAAACAAAATTTTGCCAGGCACTTCTGTTTGCAAACCAACCTGTTCACAAACAAAAGCATTCGTGAACCAAAGTGCCACTGTAAAATGAAATAAGCAAAAAGAAAACAAGCACTAAGAAAAAATACTACCTCCCCCTTCAAAATAAACCATTCTCTGGTAACCATGTAAAGAAATTCCATGTTGATTCTCTCAATATATTAGCAGACCACTTCAGGCCTCGACAGAAGCCACAAAGAAATTACTGAAGTAGTTTTTCTAACCTTGTAATCCTTAATCTCCTCCATCAGAATCTCATCACATTTGGGTACATTGTCTGGTTTCTTTGTGGTCTCCAACTTCCTTCGAAGCCTAGAGATGTCCTCCTGTGGCAACAGAGAAGATCAATTACACACTCTTTCCCTACTTGATCTTTCTGTTGTGGAAGGAAAGGATTTTCCAATTATCTTTAGGAATGCAGAGAATTGTAAATGATAAGGTATTTTCTCTGTTTTAAAACAAGTAACCAATCATATCCCTAAACCAGAATTACACCACCTACTGCCAATTCAGGCCTATGAAAGCACAATCTAAGAATTTAAAGGATAGGTCACTTTATTTTATGATGACTAGTTTTAAAGGTAAGAGTAGCCTGGGATAACAATAATTTGAAGATTTATGAGTAAGAATAAAAAGGTATCATAAAAAATAAATGACATGAAAAAAATAGAAAAATTATAGAAGAATTTTTAAATTTTCTAATGTTATTTATGCTATTTAATAATTCAATCACTTACACACTTAATATTTATTTCATGCCCACCATATAGTAGGCACTATAATAGGTTTTAGGGATATACCAGTGAAGAAAATAGAACAAGTAACCAATCAATCCCAAGTAAACTCATAGTCTAATAGGAAAGGATATGCACTATGACTCATCACATGGAGATGAAATGTAAAGAAAAGAGAACTACTCTTACTTGGGCTCGTTTAAAATTGAACATGTCCTTTTCTTTGGTGACACTGTTCTCCACGATCTCATCCTGAAAATCATGTAGCTTCTTCTGAGCCAATTCCAGCTGGGCTTTGAGGTCATCTGCAAGCTGAGCTGCCTCCATTGCCTATGTGTGATGCACAAATAACACCAATTTGTCACCCTTTATTTCTAGCAAGGGAAAATCTTAACCCAAGTTCAGGGAATGAGTGAATGGAAAACATCATCTATGTTATGCTTATCTGCTCCACAAGACTGCCTACGACTTTATATTTCAGAGTGGTCCACTATACCTTGCGCTTGTTCATCTCCAACGCTTGAGTCCTAAGCCCCAGCTCCTTCTCTCCTGTGCCAATGTTGCTCTGCAGCAGGTGTTCCTTCTCTTCCAGTTTCCTTACTACTTGTAACTGGGCATCGACCTTCAGAAGAGTTAGATTTTAACACAAACAAAAAGGGAAATAAAATAAAATTGGCTATTTACTGCTAATTTATATCCTCACAAAATACAGTATGTTAGAAATCTCAAACTAATTACTGAGTTCTACTCATGAACCCTTCCAAATATACAAGAGTATGAATATTAAAGGCTTCACATATTAATATAAAATACAGATGGAGAATCAAGTAAGAGTAGGGGAAACCACTAAAAAGAATATTTTCCAAATTGTCAAGAACAGAGGAAAATATACCTTCTTCTGTAGACATTGTAATTCTCAAAACTTGACAACTCCTACTAAAACATATAAATCTTGGCTCAAACAAAAGTCCAAGTGTGTCTCTTTCATAATGGCTAAAAATTCTAAAATAGTATTTTTCTTGAAATTAATGCACCAAGTAGAATCAAAGAATATTACAGACTAAAAAGTAAAATCATACATGTACTTCCTAACCCCTCACTCACAAACTCTCATCCCAAGATCCAGATAACCAACCATTCTTATAGTTTTCCTGAAGCCTTCCAGAAATTTTTAAAATCTACGCATACACTTTAATACACAAAATGGATAATAAATCACTTGATACATTTTGGACATTTGTTTCTGCATTAACAAATCCATATGTGCTTTAACAACTACACTGTACTTCTTTGTAGGGATGCAGAGTTTATTTACCAGAATCCTAATGACAGACATTTAGTTTGCAGTATTTTTATTCCTACCCTGTTTTTTTTTTTGGTTTTTTTTTCCAACAGAATGGAAAGCTCTACTCATCCTGAATACCTGAGTCTTCAGAGTCAAAACTTGGTCTGCCAGCTCCTCCTTCTCTTCTTTCAGCAACTTATGGATCTGATTAGACTTGATACGCTCTGACATGAGCTTAAAATTTGCATCATCCTTCTCCCGCAACTGCTGCATCAAGCGGATATTTTGTTCCTGCATGTCTTCAAAGGCCTGGCCTGTGACATCCATCTCAGAGAGGAGAGCTTCTTCCTCCTAAAATGAGGAATCTAATTAGTAGAATATTCTAACTCCAAGGAATGAGCATAAGAAAAACCTTCCCATGGTTCGTTCATATATAAATTAGCAACAGAAAGAGATTAGTTTAAGAAACTTTGATAAAAAGCTTAATACTGGGCTGGGGATTTAGCTCAGGTTCCAGCACCTGCCTCGCAAGTGCAAGGTCCTAAGTTTGATTCCCGGTACCAAAAAAAAAAAAAAAAAGACAAAAAGCTTAATATTGTTACTAGGTTAGCCTTTAGATGACAGAAGAGGTCTATTATTTGAAGTTACTGACACCAATTGTTGAGCTGATACTCATTAGCTGATCTGTACTTAATGCCAGCTAAAGCAAACAAGAATCACACATATCTTAATTTAGCAAACTGATCAGAACTTCTATCATGAAGCCTCACATTTTCTCATACTTTTCTACAATTCTGATACTGAATTGAATCTATAGATTTTCCAATGGTTGCAAACATTCTAAGTTCATAATAATCATAGTTCACAATAATAATAATCATAATCTAATTCATAATAATTCATAATAATAATCTAATTTATAATAATCTGATAGGTGACAGATGGTATCTAACAACAGCTATAATTTATAATTCTAAAGACTGAGCATCTTTTTATGTTTAAAAGTGAGTTGAAGGGTCAGGAATGTAGCTTAGCAGGGCCATGCCTGCCTGGCAAGCACAAGGTCTTGAGTTCAATCCCCAGTGCTGGAAAAAAAAAACAAGAATGATTTGTAATCTCTTCTGTGAACCATTCATATCTTTGCCTGTTCTTCTATCAGTTGCTGGGTTTTTTCCCTATCATTTTTTACAATTTTTAAAAATATATTTGGGGGCCAGGGATTTAGCTCAGTGGTTCCTGCGCCTGCCTCACAAGTACAAGGTCCCAAGTTCGATCTCTGGTTCCAAAAACAAAATAAAATAATAAAAATAAAAATATTTTAGGAAAATAAACCCTTTGGTGACAAGAGTTTAAAGTATTTCTTCCTTTTGTCTTTAAATCTATTGACAATGCTAACAGTGTCAAAGTCTTTTTGACTTTTTTAATATCTCAAAATTATCAATCCTTTGTCATGTTTTCTCATTTTTTAAATTTCAGTTTATTAGTACTAGTGTGTAGCACATAGTATGTACACCTAGTCTTTTACTAAAAACTCAAAAGGTCTTCTCCACTTCAAATTTAAAAAGGATCTTACCTGTTTTCATTTCCCTCTTTGATGTATTCATCTTTTAATATCATATCTATAATTTATTTGAAAATCATCCTACCATAGTGTTCAAATATGTATCCAACTTTTGACCAATATTGCTTTATTTTTGTCAAACACATTTAAGTCTTCCTCTGATTTAAAACTATATTGTTAGCATAAAATAAATACCCATGTATACTTAAATCTATTTCTGAACTTTCTATTCAATCCTAATAGTCTGTGCAGTAGTCACAAGTTATTTTATCTACTGAAACTTTATGATTTAGTAACTAGAAAAAAATCCCATTGCTGTTTTATTTGTTTTTTGTTTTTCTTGTCATTATTTACTTTTCCATATGTACTTTAAAATCAGTTTGTTTAGTACCAAAATAAACAAACACATTACAAAACAAAAAATAGTACTTTTATTGGGATCAGAGTTAATTTATACACTAACTTAAGCACTGACATTTTCAAGATGAAGAATAATCCTAGCCTAATCTTTCCTGTAGTGACAGCATTTGTTGACAACACGTGTTTTAAAAAGTGGGAAAGTATACAGGACCACACTTAAGAAAAGCCAAACTTCTACTTTTTACAAAAGGTATGTGCATAGGATCTAATGGAAGTTCCTGTTTTCAAAACACTTAATGATCAAGTTACCCTTTAAACTACTTCATCTCATTGTCATTTTGCTGTTTCTTAAAAACAGTGTAGGTAGTACTAACAGTGAACATATCTGTGGATTTTCCAAACATTTTGGGTGTCTTTATTATTGAATGTTAATAAAATTCACTGGGACTTCAAGAAATACATGCTTATCATGAGAAGGAAGATATAAAGTTTATGACCCAAGAACAAGCATAGTTAGCATACTGGTTATTTATTTATAACCTACTAGGGAAGCAGTTTTGTTTTTCATTTTTTTTTCATCTTATATTCACTATATGCCCTCATTCCTTTCTTAAAGCATCTAATAAAGACCAGATTCTTGATAAACAATGGTTGAACAACTGTCTATACATTTGAAAATAAAAATAAATTTACCTCCCAAACACACAAAACAAAATAATGGAAGGATGAAAAAGACTTTAATGAATACACAAATTTTTTAAAAAAGGATGAAATATATTAACAAAAAAGACAAACAAATGAGCAAATTTCACTGGCTAAGTTAAATGTCCAATGACATTTACTGAAAAGGCCAATTAAAACAAAATGTGCCTACCTGCTTGGCCATGGCCAGCTTCTTCTGCAAGTACTCAATCTGCTCCTCTACCGCCCGGATCTTCCGCAAGGCCTCCTCATCAGCCATCTTCCTGTTTTCTTTTTTCTCTTTCTCCTCTAGATCCTTGAGTCTTTGCCTTAGATCTTCCAACTACAGGAGGAAGAGAATCATATAAAAAATAAGTGTTCTAATACTTCTTCAAAAATCAGTGACTACTGTGTTATAGTATAGGGCCCATAATACCAAAAGAACATGGACAGAATTACAGGACAAGATAAATGGTGTGTGAATGATAAATAATAGAATACACCACATTGCAACACTGTTTTAACATACGTCATTCCTACATTTCACACTTCTATGAGCATCATTTTTGAGGACTGCATCTATATACCTTTCTTTAGAATAGATTTCAACCTTTTTCTCCTATGTCTGAAAATTTTAAATGTATAAGACATTTCTTAGAAGTAATCAGAAAAAAAGAACCACTATAGTAATAATTTATATAGGGAAAGTGGAAAATACAATGTTTAAAAAACCTACTCCTATTCCCAGTAATTCTGATGTATCGTACCACCTTGCAGAAAATCTAAGAATCTGCTTTAGATGGTCTTTGAAAGGGAAGAAAATGTTGCTAAATTAAACAATAACTTTAAAAATAAGAAAAGTTAACTATATCCTCAACAAGTATGAAGGAAACCCGTAAGTGAAGATTTTCATCAAAATGACAGGTAATGACTGACTAGATTACCTCTGCCTTAGACTTCTTCTCAGCTGCCATTAACTGAACTTTGTCCCTCTGTTCCTTTGGGGCAGAGCGGTACATATCTAGCAATAGTTTCATCTCCTTTTGGCTCTCTTGTGCCTTCCTACAACAGGGGTTGCAGAAGGAGGGGAATAATGGAATGAAAAAACAAAGAGCATCACAGCAGGAGAATTTTTGAATTGAGCAGAATATTTTAAGTTTTTTATTCTCTGTTGTACCTAAAAGACAAAATTTTGTACAGACTATCATTCTGGATATATTCAGAGAATAAAAAAAGGAAACTGTATGAATGAATCATTTCTTGCTTTATGTCTCTACATAAAGTTATAAATGAACATATATGGCACTTATGACATAGGTAAAGTTGTATGGTCCCACTCTTAGAAATTCTCATTAGGTAGGTGTGGGAAAGGCACCAGGTATATATTCAAACAAGGCGCTCAGATGATTCTAATATGACATTTGAAAGAAAAATGTTTACCTTACAGAGATTATTAAGAAGAAGAAAGAAAAAGGGAAAATGTGGAAGTTCAAAATACACTGTTAATCTTAGTCTGACTGATTGCTTAGCCATCATTTGAAGAATAATGTTTGTCTCTTCCTAAGTTATTAAACCATTTAACTACACTTGAGTTCCAAGTATTTTAAACCACAGTGGTCCCTCTCAAGTTCAAACATCAATGAAGAGTCAATTACGAAAAAATGGGCAGCCAAAAGTAACCAGTTCTAGAAATTACTGGTTCTGCAGGAGAAAGGGCAATATGTGAGGTTATGACAAAGTAATGTTTCACTGGATTTCCTAAGATCCCTAATACGATCTGACATACCTACAACTAGTTTACTATCAAATAGTTCAGACATTGTTCAAGTTACAAGGAAATATGCCCCACCTAGTGTAATTTAAACTACAACTAATGCCAGTAATAGCCCAAATCCCATAAAGAGCAGTAATTAAGTTCCAGTGATTCTCAGGTATGTTGCTTCAACATGCTATCCCTTCTCTTAATTTGATTTCCTGAAGAATAAGGCCAGGGGTTTACTGATACCTAACACCTCAACTAAATTACACAATAGCCAGGCAGGCCATTTATGGCTATATACTTGATCAAGAGTTGAGACCATGTTAATTATACATTTAGTTCCACCTAAAATATTACAAAGATCAGAGAAGCCAAGTCATCAACTAAACATTTAATTTAATTTAATTTAATTTCTTATGCCTGAACTTCAGGGTCTGGGTCAAAAACAGTTCATTCTAAATATTGCTCTTACTTCAGTTCAATCTTCAGTTGTTTAATAATTTCTGCTTCCTTTTTCCTTCCATCATCATGTTTCCCCTTTTCTTTATCCTTCACAGAATCTCTCTCTTTTTCTGATTCTTTCAGTTTCTGCTTCTCTCGTTCTCTCTCCTTTTCCTTCTCTCGTTCTCTTTCTCGCTCCCTTTCTTTCTCCTTCCTTTCTCGTTCTCTCTCTTCTTCATCTCGTTTGGACTTAATTTCATTGACATCCTCCTGAGATGACTTTGATGCTGAAGACTGGATGGATAAGTCCTCGGAATCCTGTTTTGTCTCTGCAGGTTCATCCTTAGGGTCCTCAGTACTAGACTGGGACTGCAGAAGGGAACTGCCACTACGCAGACGTGTCTGGGAGAATAAAGAAAAGAAAGGTGCATGGTGCTTATGGTAACCACGCAAAAACAGCTGTGTAAACTCAAAAGCATATAATACTTATTCTACTGCTGCTAGTTACCTTGTTCAGGTCGGATTGGGCTTCTCTCAGTTTCCGCTTATACCTCAGGACCTCCCCTTTCAGCTGGTGATTGTGATTCTGGAGGCTACTGATGAGATGGCGCATCTCCCGGTTTATAGGGCCTTAAATACAGCAATGGCAATGTTAAGAAGAAGTGCAACAAGGGTAAAGGCACAAGGAGAGAAAGTAAGAAAACGCTAGAAGATAGGGAGAATTACTCCAAGAAATACTCTGTCAAAGGATGAAAATAAAACTGGACAACTTGAGTTAAACAAACACTGAGGCTGTGAGCCAACATGAATTGTAAGATTTAATTTAAGGTACTTTAGGATTTTTGAGTTAAGTTAGTACTAACAAATCTTGGGAACCATGTTGTGTCTTTCAAGGAAGGCATTTATAGCAGACAAGCTGTAGGGTGGAGTAATAACTATACCTGCTTGCTCATTAGCAGCAAGGGTCTGCTCAAATTCTATCCTTAGCATTTCGTACTCCTTGCGGACCTGGGCCAGCGTATCTTCCAGCTGAATCACTTCAGTCCTCAGTTTCTTATGAAGACTAACTTCATCTCGCTGCATATAGAATAAGGACCCAATCAAAATCAAAACTTCTTACCAAAATATAGAAAGACTATCATAATCTATTATCCTAGCTCCTATATTTGATCTGTAAGGATCTAAAAATGAGAATATGCCAAAAAGAGAACAGGTAACTGAAAATGTCCACTTCATTCAGTACTTAATGAATACTAGGAGAACTTCCAAACACCAATGTGGAAACTGGCAAGCCACTAACCAAAGAAAGGAAATAGCCTCCAACTCTGAGAATACTGCAATTGAGTTGAAAAACTAAACCAAAAAATAGTATATAAAAATTTACAAAGTAGTAGTCAATTCATTTGCTGGCATATATATGAAAAGACCAACTACAACAAGGACTATGGAAGAAACACATATGATAAAAATTTCTGCCTTTAAAAAAAATTATCTACAGGTGCCACTCTCTACCATAATGGCCTGTAAGGATTGGTGCAGCTTCCAACCACTGTACTCCCCATATACACAAGCTCCAGCCATATTAATCTACTGGTTAGGGTCCCTAACATTTTCATACATGCTAGTCTCATTACTGCAAATGCACTTCTCCCACCTTTAAATATCAGTAAATTTGGATTTATCTTTAAGATTCACACTTCACTTTCTCAAGGAAAGGCTCCCCAAATCAGATGCTCTCTCCTCCATCACTGCACATTCTGCATATGCTGCTGTTGTAATGTACTGCATCCTAATACTGTTCTCCTTTGGGCAGGAATTGTTATCTCTGTATGCTCACCATCTAGCAGAGTGAGACCTATAGCTACTCTATATAAATGTTTGCTGAATAAATGAGAGATTAGCTGCACATAAGAGAGTAAACTTGGAAAGGTTATGAGGCAGAAAAACTTAAATACAGAACATGCAGTAAAACCATCACCTCAATGAGCTCAACTTGGCGCTGGTGTGTTCCCCTGGTGCCATGCAGCAGGGTTCGCGCCTCATCCAGGTGTGCTTTCAACTGCAGGCTCTCATTGTACAGCACTGAGAACTGTGACTGCATGCAACGATATTCCGGGGTTTCCTTAACCACTTCCTCCACTGCACTCCGCAGTTCCACCTGAGGAGGGCCCAAAGGAAAGTCAAGTCAGGCACCACCTGCACGAGCCCTGTGAAATTTGCCAGGATCTTACACACTAACTTTTCCATATTGACAGCCACAGAGAAAATATTTCTGACATGGTAACAAAAATAGTTATGTTTCTCCTAAGCAAATGCTTATTTTAATCAAACACTTTAAATGAATTTACTTAGGTCACTTGTGCTCTTTTAGTGCAAACATCTTCACTGTTATTTATTCGCCTGGAAACAAATTAAGTTATAAAAGTGGTTGAAAGAGATGAAGAAGACTGCCAAAATCTTCTTTCTTCCCTTAGGACACTGATGAGGGAAAATCCTTATGTGCAGGTTTGAAAACCAGCAGGATCATTAGTCATGTTTCTTCGTTCACTGTGGCAGAGAGAAACTGCAGAGCCACATCTATGGCCCACCTCGAGCAAAAAGTGACACGTATGTGGCCTCTCCTCCCATGGTATAAACACGTTCCTTTCACACATCTTATAAACAAAGACTTGTTTCTAATATCTATTTGAATTCTCACCCTAGTTCACCCTCTTCATTTTTCTCAGCAACTCCTATATTGATCTTTTCTAAAAATCTTCATAGGTTGGTATAAAGCCTTTTCAGAACAAGGCAGGGTGCAGATAATAAGCAAATATGTAAATAAGCACATGGTATTACCGATAACATTTATATATTCTTCCTCCAACTTTATTCAAGTATCAGCAACAAAAATTATACACAGGTTGTACAAATGATATTCTGACATATATATTCACTGTGAAAGGATTACCATAAACAAGCCACTGTTCTTGTGTGGTGAGAACATTTAAGACCTACTGTCCTACCATATTTCAAGTATATAACACAGAAGAATCAACTATAGTCCCTCTGCTGTACATTAGGTCTCCAGAACTTACCCTGTGCAAGTGAAATTCTGTACCCTTTGACTAACATCTCCCCATCATCCAGCCCTCAGCCTTCAGCAACCCCCATTCTATCCTCCACTTCTATGAGTTACACCTTTTTAGATACTATACCTGGGCCGGGGATTTAGCTCTGTGATTTCGCCGCATGCTGCGCAAGCGCAAGGACTCGAGTTCGATCCCCAGTACCAAAACAAAGAAATCAAAAACAAAAATCTAGATACTATACCTAAGTGAGATCACGTACTATTCACTTTTCTTTGTCTGGCTTATTTAGTAATAATGTTCTCTGGGTTCATCCATGTTGTCACCAATGACACATTTTCCTTTTTATGGCTGAATAATGCTCCATTGTATACTTATATCACATATTCTTTACTCAGTGTATACATCTCATATTTCTTTGATTAAATATTCATAAGTACTGTTTTTGATGCTATTGTAAAATATTTTAATTTGTCTCATATAGCTTATTGTTAGTGTATAGAAACAACTGATTTTTGCATGCTGATTCTGCATTCTGCAAGTTTACTGAATTCATTTATAATCCTTACAAGTTTTTCTGAAAAGTATTGAGGGTTTCCTATGTATAAACCCATGTCATCTGCAAACAGAAACAACTTTACTTCCTCCTTTCCAATTTGGGTGCCTTTTATTTCTTAATCTTGCCTAACTGCTCTACTTACAACTTCCAGTACGATACTGAGCAGAAGTGGCAAGAGTGCCCATCTGTATCTTGTTTCTAATCTTAGAGGAAAACTTTCCATTTTCATCACCGAGTATGATGTAACTGTGGGTTTGTCACAGATAGCCTTTATTGTTGAGGTGAATTTCTTCTACACCTAATTCACTGAGAGTTTTTAACCATGAAAGGATATTGAATTTTGTCTTTTTCTGTTTTCCCTCATAAATGATGCAGCTTCACAAATATATATACCTATATGTGAACTGATCAGCAAAAAGTGGTTTTTCTGTCCTGTACAGATATGTCTCCTACCTTCAACTTTTCATTCTGGGTAGTGACCTCCTCAAAGTCTTGCCGAAGTTTCTCCAGTTCACAGTGTCGGTTCTGAGCCAACTCTTTGTTCTCCTCAAGCTCTGCATTCATTTCCTCAAACTAGAAAGAAACAGAAAAGCAGCAAATGAGAATAAGGATAAAGAATTGTTAAATCATTCACATTTCCAAGCTTCCCATATTCACTGATCCATTCCTCTAGGAAACCTCACTTTGCCACTTGTAAACCTACCCAAGTACAGGTACAGAACCTGACACCAGGTCAAACACTGACCTACACGGATCACTGCTTTACCTTCCGGGCATTGATAGTGATTGTGCCACCATAGAGACTGCTCCCTGCACCATATACCTTGTAACCTTTTGAATTCACCTATAGAAGAGAAAAAAAGATTCTTTAATGAGAGACCTGAAGTTTTTAGTCTGACAAGCCAATATACTTTACAAGGATCAGTTTTTTTCTCCAATTAACTCTCCAATTTGATTCTGAGAAAATTCCTTAAAATGACTCTAGTCGTCAAGCTATAATAAAACAGCACTGACCCGTTCTAGAACTTCTGCTAAGTGTCGGTTGAGTCTTTGTTCTCGTTTGCGAATTTTGTCAATATCCCACTGCAGATCATCAATCATAGACTCCAGGTCAGACCCTCGTGACTCAGCTGTCTCCACCTTACTCTGCAACTTGGAGAACTACATTCCAAAGACAGGCATTCCGGAAAACATATTTAAAAAGATCGAGTTAGAAAAGGTATGCCTTACATCACTAGCTTAAGTTTCCATAATTTCTTGACAATCCTCCTATCAAAAAGTGGAATCTCAGTTTTCTCCTCTTTAATCTGGATCAATTTTAATGACTCAGTGGAAATATGCTACATGACTTCGAGATTAGATCAGAAAGACAACGTAGGGTCTGCCTGGTGTTCTGAGAATATTCACTGGAAGAAATCAGCTGCCACATAAGAATGCAACTACCTTATGCCCGCCATGCAGAAGTGACCTGCAGGCATTCCAGCAGGTGACTCAGGTTAGCTCCCAGCTGACAGGTAGCACCAACAGGCAGCTATGAGAACCATCTTACACATCAACCCAGATAACCAAAACAATTGTACCCCCAACTTGGTAATGCCGAGATTTGGAAAAGGGCAATAAAATGAAAACCTTACCATCTTGGTAGTAGCTACTTTATTTCTTAAAACATTACAGGTTATTTCATTTTCTTACCATATTCCACTTTAAATGTTGCTCCACTCTAACCCCTTTGAAGGCCCCTGAGAATCAATGTGTATTTATAAACTCCCAAACGATTCTCAGGCAACTAGCCCAGCATGAACCTTAACAATGGTATTGAGCAAACAAGGGTATATGAAGATTATGACGTTGAAATATAACAGATCTATATTCAAAACACATATCAGTTACCTTCTAACTATTCGCCTCAAACCAGTCATTAACTTTTTAAAATCTGTTTCCATAGAAGTAAAATAAGAACTACTTTACCATTAAAGATAATGTTTATATAGTGCTTAAATTCTAGGTACTAGGTACCCAGCAGTTTAAATTACTACTCAGCATGAGAAGTCAGTGTCTGAACCAAGGTAGGTCACATTTCAGTACAGTATAATTTTAACTAAGCCAAAACGATAATCATGAATATCACATAAGTCCTACAAGCCCTCTTATCTCTTTAAGTAGTTTTTGTAAATATACAGATCTTGGCATGGTTTGGTCTTGGCACTATTTACGTCTAAGCCTGGATGAAAAACTTATATTCTTCAAGTTCCTAAGACATCAACAATGCAGAATTTCCTATATCCCATTTTCTGCTGAATTTTTAATCACATCATTCTTAAGTAATACTGTTCCTATATGTTGTATTTGGAATAATTCATCATTTGAGATTTTGGACTTCTGCTATGTTTTGTAAAACCCCATTAGGATAGCATTTCTTCCTAAAGATGAGGATCTTAAAATGTCTTTTTAAGCAGAGACACAGGCAAGGATAAATATTCAGTTATTTTCTTCTTCCTTTAACCTTTCCACAGATTTTGATTTTTCAGAGCTGGTTGCTTTAGCCAGCCCTTCATGCTCTTCAATATAAAAATAGGTCTAGAGTAAGATGACATTTAAAGCACTAAGAATCCTCTGATTCAACATCGGTCAAACCCACTAGAAACAGCCACCTCTCCTTTCTGGTCAAGTACCTCTTGAGACATGGTATGATGCTTCTCCTGAAGTAAGTCTGTCAATTCCTGTAGCCTCATATTCTCTTGTATGAGGAAGGAATTCAACTCCTGCACTGCTTCCTCCACTATCAGATTATCTAAGGAAAAAGAACTGTACTTTAGTTTAGAAAAAAAACAAGGGCTGGGGATATAGCTCAGGGTTAAGGCCCTGGCTGCAATTCTCAGCACTGTTAAAGAAAGAGACAGAGACAGAAAAAGAGAGAGAGACCTAAAACTGATTCTTTGAAGTAAAAAAAAAATTAATTCTGCTACTTATAAAAGTATCTAATTAATAGTATTAGAACAGGTTAAAATTTTTTCCTTGACCTTCTGAAGGACTGTCATATGGCTCAAATGTGAAACATTCTTAAAATACTAATATGCCACTGTAAAGCTGTTACCAGTAAAGATTAGGATTCCAAGGAATTTAATCTAAAATAAATAGGTGAAGTTTGCAAACTACAAATTAGCATGAGTTTTTTTCTTTTCTTTTAGTCTTGAGGATCGAGCCCAGGGCCTCACACAGGCTAAGCACATGCTCTACCACTGAGCTATATACTTCCAGCCCCACAGAAGTTTGTTCTTATTTTTCCCGCACTGCTTCTGGTCTCCAGGTTCTTGCCTCACCTCCACTGTTCAGTTTCCGGGATAAAAGCTCCACTTTTTCTTGTAGTTTATCATAGACAGTCACAATTTGGGATACTGCTCGGCGGGAGGACTCCACACGCTCCTGCAGCTGAGATTCCATCTCTTCACTGGAACTGCTGGCCAAAGTAGCAAGGAAAGAGAAAGCTGGCTCTTGCCCCTCCCCTGAGAACACAACAGGAATAAAACAAGCCCCGCAAAATTATAAAACTGGAAATATCAAAATTCTTTTTTTCCCCTTAGATGTGTAGCCTCACAACAAAGCCCAACTTTGAAATAACACACAGCGATAGAAAACACCATAGATACTCACCTCTCTCTCGGTCATCTTTGCGTTCTTGATTGCTATCTGAGTCAGGTTCCGGTTCTGGCACAACAAGGGCTTTCCTTTCTGTGAGTAGATCTCCTAAACCCTGCTCCAGATCATAACGTTTAAGGATGATACGGATGTTTTCATCAAACTGGAGAAGCATACAAACAATTAATAAAGAAGAAAAGGACACAATTTTAGAATTGAAGAATGTACTAAGAAATAAACTGCTCACACAAATCTGAGCAAATAAGCAAATAGAATACCTGACTCCAGTACCGGTTGACAATCAACAGGGAGGCATCATCAGTCGCCTGCCGCCGTTCCAATTTTTCAATGTGCTCACGAAGTTCATCCTCAATGGCCTGCCGCTGATCTAGCATTTCTGCGAGCTTGCGGTTTTTGGTTTGCAGTGTTCGGATGTCTGACTCCTCCTGCTCCAGAAAAACCAGTACTGTTAATCTCCACAAAGAAAGTCACATTAGTTATGTTACGAGAAAAGAGCTACTCACTAAAAAAATACTACAATAAATAATTAGATAAGAGCAAAAGAGATAAAGGCGCAGGTGATACAATGATATAAGGAAAAAAAACCACACTAGTATACTGAAACTCAGTCTCACCCATCTCACTGTTCCATTCACATGTACCTCTACAAAGTAATGTGACATTGTGATTCCACAACCTAACTAGATAATCCTCTACTTCAACTGACATTGTATTCTATTTCCTCCATACAACAGTTCATTTACTCAAGACTTTGATGTCCCTGTCAATATTTATCTGGTGATTTCAATATACACATGGAAAAAACAATCTAATCCTCTGGCATCTAGGCTGTCAGTATTTTGAACTCCTTAAATGTATTATCTCCCTCACTATATTTCAGCTATGCATTTCAAAAGCCGTATCACAGACTTGACTACATCTGAACTCTTAAATTCCAACTTTCCAATTCCCTGAAAAAAGGGCTATCTTTCCAGATAGCAAGCGTCCTTATGCCACTGTATCAGTCCTTTCACCTCACTTAGGTCTCCAAAATTTTGAATTATTTCTTTTCTCCCTCTCAATCCTCTTCTATTTCTACCAAATTCCATATCCTGATTATAACTTGAAGTACATTCTTTCAAACACCTGTCTACCAATCTCAACTCTGCCTTTTATTCTACCTATGTGAATGGTCTGGCCAGTCCATTTATCCAGACATCCGACTATTCCTTCCTATACCCAACATGCTGAGACTTCAAATTACACCAGGTAAACTGGTGACTTTACAAAATGAATTCCCAACCTGACCACGTCTTATAATTTGTCCAGAAATATTTCTTAATAAGTGAATGTCCTTTCTCTACCAAAGCAATATCAAACTGCTGAGCTCTGTCCCTCGCACATCACACTATGCAGGTAGCTTTGCCTCCTATCTTAACAATAAAATAGTCATCATATGGGAAACACTCCAATTCCCCACCTCTCTGATCCATTCACACAACTCACCAATATATGTGCTGCACACATTCTAAAAATCTCAACTTGTGCTCAGGATCCCTTCTCTTCTGTTTCTACAAAACCCTCACTATGTCAGTAATTCCACACCCCTCTTAATACCTTTAACCTCTCTCTAGCTCCTTCCCTAGAACAAACTAGGGATGGGCCCAGAGTTGGAATAGCCCAAGCAAAGAAACAGTACATCTTACGGTTTACATTCTCACTTTACTATTTTGGTTAAGACATCCTTAATACATCGATGTAGTCAACAGTTTTCCCATTGTACTAGCTTATTCATATTATTAATAAACTATATCCTTAGCCTCTTCTCTGAACATTATCTTTTCCTTCTTGCTCTAACTAAAACCTAGATGAGAACACTATTTTCCCGTAGGCTTCTCTAGTGGTAGCAGTTTTTCTCCCACACCTTGAACCCTAGAGACAGACTGTACCTTCCCTATTGTCCATTCCCATTTCCAAGTCATTATCCCACCTGTCCCCCTAAAACCTCCTATCTTTACAGCTTATGCCATTAGTCTTTGCCACCTGCCACCCTGTTTGTTGAACTTAACTGTAAAGTTTATTCATTCACTTCTCAAAGATTTAACATATCATCATCTGCTAAAATACTGCTCCTATTATAATTCCTAATGATTTCAGTCCCCATATAGTCTTCTGTACCTTGGAGTACTGACCTCCTCTCCATCCATAATCTTGTCTTCTTGCTTCTGTCACCAGCGCCCAGTTATTCTCACTCTAAGTCTTAGCTACACCAGCAAATTCTCTACAAGCTCATTCTCCATCACTACAACTTATTTTTCCAGCTCACTGTTTCCTGCTTCAACCATTCTTCAACCTCTCCAGAACCTCCAATCCTTGAGTCCTATACCTTCCACTGCCTTTCACTACTCTCACTTCCTCATCTCCTTCCTTAGCAAACAAATTTTATGAACACTCACTATAATCACCTACTTTTGAATACCTTCTCCTCTTTCCCTGCTTCTTCATCATACTTTTTTGGTAAAAACCTAAACTCTAGTAACAGCCAACTCTACCTACTCCAAGATCAATGTAGCTCAATGTGAATAGAAAAAATAAATATCAGACTAAGTGATTTAACTTTAAACTCATGCTCACAAATTCAAATGGCTTCCCAGTGCTACACAGTAACCGTACTGTCTCTCTCGAGTCCATTCTTTCTTCAAGATGACTACATCATACCTTCTCCTGTCCCTTCAAATCTCCAAAACTTCCTTCCCTATCCTCACTCTTAGATGAGTTTTACTTTTGATTTCACTGACCAAAAAAAAGAAGCTATCAAAAGAGAATGCCCATACCTACCTCCCACAATCTTAGCTATCAACCTACCTACATCTAAACCCACACTCCAACTTTGTTCTTATTGCCATGGATAAACTGCCCCAGCTACTGATTAAGGCCAGTTCCTCCTCTTGTATATTACATTACATTCCCTCTCAGTACTCCAGGACATCACATCAGTAACTGGCTCCTCCTTTTGCGCTATCATCAATTTTATCCTTTCCACCAAATCAATTCAATCAACAGATAAACATGCCCCTATATCTGCAAATTTAAAAACAAACAAAAATAAATGAATAAAATAAAACCTTCCCTTGATTCCACATTTCTCTCTGGCTACTGCCCCATTTTCTTTGTTCTACTTTAATACAACTGTCCTCCAAAGCACTGTCTCTATCCTCTTCCCTAATTCTCCTCCTCTCATACTATCTTAAACTCACTGCAATTAGACTTCCATACCCACCACTACCAACACAGGTCTTTCTGGGTATCCAATAAACTCTCTAGTGCTAAATATATCCCAGTCCTCCCCTTACTCAACCCATCAGCAGAACCTGACCAATGCCTCCTTAAAGCACTTTCATTTGCTTTCCAGGATCCCACTCTTGTTCTATCTCATTGTTCCCCCTACCTTTTTGTCTCTTTAGTTTCTTTTCATCTTCTTGATGTGAACATGTTGTAGTATCCCAGGACTCAGTCCTCAGCCCTCTTCTCTATGGTTATTACTTACGGGAAACAGTATCCTCATTAATTTAAATACCATTTACAAAATGATGACTCCTAAATGTTGAGCTTTAACCACATCTCTCTCCAGAGTCCAGGTTACACCAACTATCTAACTACTGAGGGATCTAATAAACATCTGTTCAAAGCCAAACCAAACTCATGATTCACCCTCCATAGCTCCCCAAAATTTGTCCTTCTCATACCCCTCCCTAATTCAATAACAGAAAACTCAATTACTCCCAAAATCCTAGGGTGACCCTCCCTCCTATCTCTTATATGCTTCATCCAATCCATTGGTAATCTTGTCTCCACAGTGGTCCACACCACCAGGATACCTCCCTCATTCGGACTACTGTAAAGTCCTCCCGTGGCAAGCACTTTGCACCATATCCAGCCAGCCCATGAGGTTTCAGCACGGCTGTGATGGACAGCTCCATTCACACTCCCATTTTTCCCACTTCAAGCATACTTTGGAGTCTCTCCAGACTTACTGTAACAACTCTGAAAGGAACAGGAGAAATACTGCCTTCAAGAGCAACCTTCAGCCAACTAGGTCAGGAACCAGCAGATTTATGCCCCATATCCCCACCTTGGAGAAGTAGAGCTGTGGTACCAAAAGGGTAAAAAGGAGCAAGGGAACAATTCTGCTAACTGGATTCTTCCTATAACCCTTGTTCCTCTACAGTCTATTTTCCAAACATAAGTCAGAGCATGTTGCTCTCCTCTACTTATGACCTTCCAACAGCTTCTCACTGCCTTGTGAATCAAGTCCAAACTGGGATGTGTGCTCTGGTTCCCTTAGAGCATGTGTTTATCTCTATCAATGGCATATGTCACCCTCTGTTATAACAGTTCATTTCCTTGTCAGTGTCACCCTACAACCTGAAGTCTAGAGGCTGTCCTCACTATGCAGCACAATATCTAGCAAATAACAGATGTTCAACAAATACTAACACTTAAATATATGAATAAATACCTTTGAACAAACGCTGTTGGGGTATATAATGTAAGACAATGTTAAGAAAAAAAATCACCTCCTGGAAGCAGAACAGAGTACAAGAACTCCAGACTGTTCTAGAAAGGACACTTCACCAACAATTAACTATGAATGTTCCTAGTATTTAGACTAAAAGAAACTCAACCTCTCTGACCCTCAGCCTCAAAAATCAAGTAATACAAATGAAAAACACATTAATATCATATCCTCAGGGCTGAGTTCCAAAATACAGACTTTTAAACTACATCAAAACCTGTAAGCTTCTGATATTTAAAACAGGTAACATTACTGTGAGTTTCTGGTGTATATATACTCGAATGAAATATATACTCTTATGTCATCCCCATAAGAGCAAGGGTAATTCCAGTTTTCTTCACTACTATCTAATCCAATAACAATTATTAGTAGTTCACTTTTCTGAGTACTTTCTATGGCAAAGGCACTTTTTAGTGCTCAACAGAGACTCTTGCTTTATCTTCACAACAACCTAATGTGACAGGTACTTTAAGTTCATTTCACAGACAAGGAAACAGAGGCGAAGCAAGGAAAATATAAGGTCACTCAGCCACAAAGTGATAGCACAGCAGAGAAAAAACCTCAGGCTGTCTGGTTTGACTCTCACTCTTCACTATTCTCAATGATTTTGTTACACTCCCTCTTAGAACCTAGCACCAAATTTTGCAGTGAATGAAAAATGGTATGTTTATATTCCAATTGCTAAATAACTATACCCAATGCTTGTCAAGCACCAGACTCTCAAGAAAACAAAAACACACTTTGAAAATAAAAATCAAATGTTAATATACCTCTCTTCCAGAACTGACCACCACATCATTTCGCACACTTCACAGAACTTATTTTCTTCTTTTCAAATGACTTTCCCTTACTCTAAAAGGCTTCCGTAAATTTTTAGTTTCAGGTTGCAACTCACAATGAAAGAACACTTTCATAGCATTATTTTTTCATACCGTTGAAGAAACACCCCCTAGCTTAATTGTTTCCACCGTAGTCCCAGAATCTTCAACAGCTGCTTTCTTCTCTGGAAGCATGGATGTGCCAGGCTCTCCAGCTGCTCTTTTATTTCCAACTCCTGACATCTTTGCTTAAAATGCTAGCTGTTTTCCTGGAGGAAAAAAAGTCAGAAACTGAAATGAGATACGCAAAGACAGCAAAAATATAAAGACTACCTTTGATGTAAAAACTAAGAATTTTCTACTCCTTTATCACAGACCCACCTATAAATTTCACACCTAACTCCTTAGGGAAGAAAAAACCTAAATTGTCAATCAGGGCTGTATCGACATGATTATAAGTTTCTAAATAAGATTTTAATAAGAAGACAATAGGAAAAGAGTGAAGAGGCTATGAATAAATCTCAGGAATCTCTATTCCTGAAATGTCAAAATAAGTAAAGTATAATTTGATTATGACAGAAGATATTCTATAGTGTTTCGAGAATCAGAGAGGTGATCTGAAATGTCTACTAAGTCATTAATAATGGACAATACTGTTACCATCTCTGGCCTCATTTTCCTAAACCACGAACAACAGTATATACTTCTATTCCTGGAAGAAATAGATCATACAATTACAGAAAAAATTCAGCATAAAGCCCAGGCATAAACTAAGCTCTCAGAACACCAACTCTCCCGTTAATATCTGCACTTTTCTCTTATTTTCAAATGTTCTCTTCACTATTTTGTGCAGCCCTGGGGAGCTTAGGCCTGAGTGAGAATCCGAGTTTTTCCTTTGTGCCCTACCTGACGGTCTGAGTTTCAGAGCTCAAAGAAGGCGGAACGGATGCTAAAGCACTTTCGCTACTTTAGGAAGCAACTTTGCCATCCCTGAGACTACAGGCTGCCCTGCTTCCACTTCAAGTTCCAGGTATGGGGTATGGGAGGCAGCAATCAGAGTCGGACCTCGCCTGCAATAGACGAGACGGGTGCAGGGTAAGGGCCGCAATCAGACTCCACAGGGGCCAAGGAACTCGGTCTCTGCTGAGCCTTAGTGCAGGCCCGGGAGATGGAACGGCCAGAGCCGGAGTGGGTGGGGATTGCCCAGTGCATACCTGCCTCTTTGTATCTTAAACCGTCATCTAACCTGGTTCTTCCAACTCGTGACGCCCGGGAGCACAACTCGGGAGTTATTCACCAAGGCCTGCCCTAGCCTCCCATCGCTCACCTCTGACCTGCTGCGAAGACCCACAAACTTCCGGGAGGCGGGGTCATGGAGACGAAAAAGGGAAGAAAGGAGGAAGTTGCTTCAACCCTATCTGGTGGACCTTACGTAGCGGCCGGGCGGAAGTGAAGTGAGGCCCGGCGCGAGGAGGCTGAGTAAGCACCGCCTCCCCGGTATTTCTTGGGCTGGGTAGGATCCTGTTTTGGTTAAAACTTGGAGGAGCACTTGAGCCTCCCTGACGCCCTGTAGAAAGCCCGGGACTTTTGCTGACATGCTGGCCTGTGCTGTGATGTAGTTTTTCCTGCTGAGATAAAGCGCCTTTTTTTGTTGCCTGTTACTGGTTCACTGAAACTGGTTCCGACTGCCAATTGGGTGATCGTCCTGTCAATCGCCGGGGAGGCAACACGGCCTCAGACACCTGAGGAAACGTTATTCTCTGAGCCCCTGTGAGCAGAAATGGGCTCAGATGTCGAATTTTGTAGATTTTTCTTAGGAAAAACTCATTTGGGGCATTTTGGATCCTCTAGGGCAGGATCTGGAGAAACACTTTTTTAAAAGCTCTCATCCCACCCACCAAGTGCAAACAAGATTGAGAACTACTGCTCTTGTGTTTTGGGGGGGGACAAAAAATTGACCAGGAAAAGGAGCCTATATCAGTTAGAAGTCTCTGATCTCAAAACTAGTCTATTTCAATCTAATTAGACATTGATTTTTTTGTGTTAATAAATGCTTATTCTCATTCCTTTAAACATTCCTTTTTAATTATCTTATAATTATTAACTATATTTACGGAGATAATCTATCAATAAAAAGCTGTATGCCTCACAAAACTATGAAAAACTACCTAGTGACATCAAATAAGCATTCAGAAATGAATGAAACGTTGTACCTTCAAAAACAAATGAACGGGAAAAAACGTAGGCATTTTGAGAGAAAAGCAAACCCAGTCCATACTGTATTTCTAGTAGTGTGAAAATTTTGGTATTATATGTGCCTGTACATCCGAGGTCATAAATTGTTCATAAAATAAGAAGGTGAACAAGGGAAAAAAATGTTTCTGGTACCTGGTGATATGGGAAATAATACCAGAAATAAAATATGAAATATTAGATCTCCCAACCTGTTAGCTGTATGATATGCCAAGCTCTTGTTCTCTAAAAATCGAAGAATGAATTCTAGGAACAACAAAGGTTAAGAGTAGGAAGATATTATTGATAGAAAAGCTTCTGAGAGGTAGGAGGGGACCCAAGAGGATAGCCGGGGACCCCACTTTACAGAGGAGCAAAACCTACATTGGTACAACGTGGGCCACAGCCATGATCATCCAGTAAGGTTACAAGTACAGTCACTTAGGTAATAGTGGTACAATTGGGAAACAAGCGTGGATGGAAAGAACAAAAATTTATCCTAGGAAATGGTGGGTGCAGTGGTCTTTGATCACCCACCGGGGTGGCAGATGTCTATCTAAACTTCATTAGGCCCAGTGTTTGTCCTTTGAGGAACTATACAGGTCTGGTCATCTTGTTTTTTCTTTTTTCTTTTTTTTTTTGTAATTCATTTATTGGTACATTTTAGGTATACAAAACATTTACATTTCTCATTGGGAACTTGTACCTTTACATGATGTATCTTTGTTCTTACTTTTTCCCCATTCCCTGCACTCCCTTCACTCCTCCACCCTTCCCTATTTACAAAGACTTTGTTTCCATTTTTTTCCATTTCTCATCATTTTTCCTTTCCCTGCTTCCCTTTACCCTACCCCTCCCACCACCCCTACACCTTTGGACCTTTTCTTACTATTTCGCATTATCAATTATTCATTATAATCATTTGTACATTTTAGGTATGCAATATAATGACATTCATCATTGGAAATTTGAATCTTTACATAATCTCTCTTGGTTCTTATTTTTTCCCCCTTCCCCTGCCCTCCCTTCAACCCCTCCATCCCTCCCTGTTTACAAAGA